CACATACATTCTACCATTCTCCTTCAATATACCACCCACATACTGAAGTTGAGGATGATTAATTGAATCCAAAGTTGCATTCAGAATCAATTTCTGAGCCACTGGATCATCAATATAACTTTCAGCCAACTGTTGAAGCCATAATAGTTGGACTGTGGTGATTGCTGCTACAAGTTCCTCCTTTAAATCACATTTCCTTGATAATGCATCTGCCACTATATTCTCCTTGCCTTTCTTGTACCTGATCTCATAACCTAACCCCAACTTCACCATCCACTTATATTGTAAGAGAGTATTCAAATTTTGCTCTAGTAGATATTTCAAAGACTGATGATCAGTCTTAATGATAAAATGATGTCCTTGCAAATAATGCTTCCACTTACTTACTGCCATTACCAATGCCAACAATTCCTTCTCATAAGTAGATAAAGCTTTTTTTCTTCTCACAAAATGCTTTACTCAGAAAAGCAATAGGATGTTGTTGCTGCATTAATACTACCCCCATTCCTTCATTACATGCATCCGTCTCCACTACAAATTCTTGACTGAAATCAGGTAAAGCTAAAACTGGAGCTGAGGTAAGAGCATATTTCAGTTTCTGAAAAGCCTGAGTAGCACTTTGATCCCAATGAAAAGCTCCTTTTCTGAGTAGAGATGTTAAAGGTTTGCTGATTATCCCAAATCTCTCTACAAATCTTCTATAATAACCAGCTAACCCCAAGAATCCCCTTAACTGTTTAATAGAACTAGGAATTGGCCAATCCATAATACTTTGAATTTTTTCAAGATCCATATGAACCCCTTCTTTGGAAATCACATGACCAAGGTATTCCATAGTTGGTGACCAAATGAACACTTACTCATCTTGGCATACAATTGATGATTCAACAGTTTTTGCATAACCAAAACCAAATGGTTAACATGTTCTTCCACAATAATGCTGTAAACAGAATATCATCAAAAAATAAAAGAACAAACTTTCTTAAGTAAGGCTTGAATACCTGGTTCATCAGACATTGAAAAGTTGCTGGAGCATTGGTCAATTTAAAGGGCATAACCAGGAACTCAAAGTGTCCATGGTGAGTCTGAAAAACAGTTTTGGGAATGTCTTCCTTGCACACCCTTATCTGATGGTACCCTGATCTTAAGTCAATTTTAGAAAACCACTTAGCTCCCCTTAATTCATCAAGTAACTCTCCAATCACTGGAATTGGATATCTAGTCTTGATTGTCAGAGCATTCAGATGCCTGCAGTCTGTGCACATCATCCAAGTTCCTTCTTTCTTTTTGACCAGCAACACAGGGGATGCATAGGGACTATTGCTCTCCCTTGCAGTTCCCTTCTTAATCAAATCATCCACATGAGCTTCAATTTCAGCCTTGTGAGCATGAGGGTACCTATAAGGTTTTATCTTGAATGGCACTGCTTCTGCTTTCAAAGTAATGTGATGGTCAATCATCCTTTCAGATGGCAAAGTTGTTGGTTTTTCAAACACCTTCTGAAACCTTGCCAACACAGCTAATATTTCAGGAAGTACATCCTTAACATTCTCACTTCTTGGCACCTCTTTGTTTTCCACAATAATCATATTCATCTGATGATCTCCACTGCTATCTTCACATCATCTTAACCTCTTTTCATTTACTTCAGATTGGAACTCTTCCCTAGATCTCCTTGGATTTGCTTGCCTGATAATATATGCTATCTCATCCTCAGCGGCTAATGAATGCCCCTTCAATAGAAACCTTTTTTGGCCTCTGGTCAATTCTATTTGACACAAGTCATAATCAAACAACAGAGGGCTGAAATAAAACATCCAATCAGCACCAAGAATTATATCCCAATTCCCAAGATTCATCAACCTGAAATCAAATTGGAAATGATGTTTTTGGATTGACCACTTGGCTGCTGGACATATAACATTGTTCCTGATTCTATGCCCATCAGCTACTTTCACAAAATATGGCTTAACCACTTTTCTAGTTAAACCTAATTTCAAAGCCAACTGCTCATTAATGAAACTCCTGGCAGCTCCTGTATCCACCAAAATCCTTATCATTTCACCATTTATATAACCAATGATAATAATCAACTTCCTTGGTTCATCATCTTCCTCGCTTTCCAGTGCCAAACAGTCTTGCCAACATTCCACAACATTGACATCCATCACCTAACCAAAACTCTCTAATTCATCACTGAGCCATTTCACATTTGTCAGATCTACATCATCATCCACAATAATGAGATTCAAATGCGCCAACTTACAAACATGTCCTGGCCCCCAAGATTCATTGCACTTCCAATAGAGGTTATTAGCCTTTCTAAATTGCTTCTCCTGAGGAGACAAACATTTAGACATCTCATTTCCCACTCTAGAATTCCCCTGTACCGCTAATTTTCCCCCTAGAGTTAAGGTTTCTACCAACTGTATTAGCAGGTGCCCTAGGCTTGGGAGTTACAACTATAGTTTGCTCCTGTGATTTGGCTACTTGGAAAGCTCTTACCACTGTTTGAGGTTCCATGAATCTCACAAAAGGTTTAAATTCTTCCTTCAGACCACTTACAAACCTGGAAATAAAGTATAACTCACTGAGATGAGGATTAGCACACAGTAGCTGTGACTTCAACTCTTCAAACTTATCATAGTATTCATTGAAAGAACATGTTTGAATCAACTTATTAAACTCCTTGATTGAATCTAAACTATCAATATCCTTGAATCTTCTCAGCAGTTCCTCTTCAAATTGTCCCCAGGAGGCATTAGGATAACATCTCCTAAAGCTTTGGTACCAAATATCTTCTTTACCGTCTAAGTAGAACTCTACAGAATCAAGTTTTTCATCCTCAAACATCCTGTAAAGCCTAAAGTACTTTTGGCATTTACGCAACCAACTTCTCACATTCATTCCATCAAACATATTAAGCTCAACTTTAGGCTTAGATTTCTAACTGTTTTTAGGCACTCTCAGTTCTCCATAATCAATTTCATTATCATCAGTTACAATTTTAGTTCTTTGCCTAAACTGATTGCACTTCGAAACAACAATATTATCCAGCCTACAAGATTTAACTCCTGATACAGAAGCAATAGAAGGAGAGTTTTGGATTTTACCAATACAACTGGTATACTCAATTTTTGCTTATGAATCCAGCTTAATTTCAGATAATTTGGCATCTAGTGTTGCAAAATCACCACCTCCTCGATCATCAATAGAAGATCGACATTGATTCTCGCAAAACCTTCAGAAATCGTCTTCATCATCTGATCCTGGAACTCCTTCTGGAATTCCTTCAACTGCCTCTCAATGGGATCTTTTCATTCCACCACCGGAATTGAGTTATGATTCGACACCATTTACTCCACAGATCCAAGAATCTGCAGGCTCTGGATACCAATTGTCAGGAACTGACCTAAAATTCAAAGAAATTGACTGGATAGGTCACCGAAAAGATGACTTCACCGGATTGGAGATCAGAAAAATAAGGAAGAGAGAAAAAAGAGTAAAGGGAAAGAAGGATAAAAATTCATAACAGAATTCAATTTTCTGGAATATTCGATACCTGTAAATGATTTATTACATTTCATTACATAGTCTCATTCCTTCTAGAATATATCCGGAAATCAAACAAAGAAGAATGCATGAAAAAATTAAATACTGACATGCAGAACTTGAACGACGTCGTTACATTCTTTACCATTTTAGATTTGTGCCGACTTATTTGAATTTTTGAACTTGTCGCGCCTGACAGAATTATGTTGTGTTGTGCAATCCCAATGGGCTAAATAACCCATTGGGTTTGAACGAGGTTGTTGGGACAAAGAATCCCACATCGGTGTCGTGAAGGATCTGTCACCTATCTATAAGTACTCCCTCCATTCCAAAATAAGTGTCATCCTACACTTTGCACATAGTTTAAGAAACTCTTAAATAGGGTAATAAAATTACTTGAATATCCTCAACCAACCCCATTATAAAATTGTCCACCAATAGCATCAACTCTTTTGAGGCTAATTTTAGAAATTTTTGACAAAAAGTGCATTGAAATGTGAGAACGACACTTATTTTAGAATTTCTTCATTTTGCTGAAACGACACTTATTTTGGAATGGAAGAAGTATCAAAGGTAAACTTACTCATAGCTAATTGGTTTTGAGATGGGAGTCCAAATTACTTATAACTTATATACTTTGACAAAATCTCTAGGAAACATCAGGTCAGTGCGTCTTCTATATATTTAGTTACAAGTAGATTATTGCATTCTTTAAACAATTGTACCGAATTGATATTGTAATTGGACAAATATCGATTGATCTAACATTTAGACACAAGGAAGTTGACAAATAGAGCCAATTAAACAGCATCATTTTAATACACTTTTAGGTATATAGTAGGAGTAATAAGTGGTATTTTTGTGTTTTCTATACTTAGAATGAATAAAATAAGACAAGCTTAAAAGGTCTTTGAGCTTGAGTTGAAAATAATTAAAATAAGTGTTATTGGTTCATTCTATCTCTCTTATAATAGTTTATTTTGTTAAATCAAACGATACAATTAAGATCAAGTGGCCAAAGTGTTTGAGACTGTAAGTCTACAAATCTAATTACTGGGCTATTTAAAACAATTTGGAGCGCTTGCAATTTTTCCTATGAGCATATTTTGAAGTATTCCATCCATTTTAAAATTATTGTTTAATTTGAGATTTTACTTTTGATACATTTAAACTACAAATGCAAATTTAAATTGGACAATGATTTTAGGACGGAGGCAGTAACACTTTTATGTATTGTTGTTTGCACTTAAATAAATTTACCGAAAGTCAAACCTAATTAAAATGAAAGAATGGGAAATGAATATAGTAATATTATCCAAGGTGCTCAATGTATGACGCATGACCCATAATGAAATTGTTACGCGATTACGATTTTGTGAAGTTAAAATACATTATCAGATGTTGAATAGCATTTTAGCACTGATATATTTAAGAGTGCCAAGAAATGCGGAAAACCAAAACTATATTTTGATAAATAAAGCATAATGTAAAAAGAAACTCGTTCTGTGATACGAAATGATTGCGTACATTTATATTTATTTTGTAACGGTGTATTACATTTTTAAGAAAGAAAAATAATTTATCCAATTGATAACACAACTCGAAAATAAGGCCAATTCATACCATTTACCAACAAGAGCGAAGACCAACACATAAGTTCATACATGCATGATCTCAAATTTATTGAGCAGGTTACAAATCAATTAGGATAAGCTTCAATCATGGAATAGAGAGCTGGAATTTTGGTAATTTTGTAGCGAGGGAAACCTCCTTTTTGAAGAAGAATTTTCCATTCGAATTCAGTCCTCTCCATACCACCTGAGCTGTGTGCAATCATCAACAAATCCAAGGCCAACCCAGTACTACCAAACACCACATCACCATCAGGATTTAACACCAAATCCACAATAAATATTTTCCCTGTTTCTTCTGGGATTGCTTTCCGACAATTCTTCAGTATCCTCACACAATCTTCATCATCCCAGTCATGCATTACCCACTGCATGCACGTTATAATTGAGTGGTTAACAAATTTTTATAGTTTTTTTTTCAACGAGAGTAATGCAACAAACAGTGATCACTATAATGAGTGAGTGAGAGAGTTTTTATTAGTACTTTTTTATTATAACTATTTCGGAAAAATAGTTTTTTTTTTTCGTTATATACTGTTTAGTTTAATAATTAAAATGAATTTTTTTTTTCAGAATTGGAACTATTTTAACTTTTATAACACGCGAGAAAAGGAACTTTTTCCGCCCTAGAAACCTTAATACAAATTACAAAATACAATGTAAACTATTGGTTTAGATGGAAGATAATTCGATTCTAAATTTTGATGATTGATTACTTTTTTGTTCTAAAAGTTACTACGAGTGAACAAAATGAAGACATACAGTAAGTATAATACCTTCATGAAAACAGCTTGCGCAGCGGGGATTTCCCGAAACATGTCGCCGCCGACGTGAGAAACACCGGCGTATTCCGGCGCTGTTGCAATAACGTGGGGCAAATCGAAATTGATCCCTTTAATCTGCGGATAATTTCCAACAATTTCAGCTATAGTTTGCCCCGTTCCACCGCCAACATCCACCACAGATTCCAAACCCTTAAATGCATCCTTTTCAAGACCCGAAAGAATCGCATTCCTTGTAATCTTTCCAGTACAGGCCATCCCATCATTGAAAAGCTTATTGAATTCAGGGTTTTTGGCGGCGAAATCCCATATTTCACATCCATGAGCTTTTTTAAAAGCAATACCACCTTCCCTAACACAAGCACTCAGTTGATGCCATGGGCTTAGAGTCCATGGATGGTTTTCCATTAACAGAAACGGCCCAAAACTCAGCTCGTTCCCGTCTTGTACCAACCAACTCGACACCTCCGTTGGGCCGTAAACCACCGAGGAAGGCTCATCCCCGTCGCCGGAGCTCGGCAACGTGGTGGAGGTGAATATTTTGTTGTGGACTAATAAACGCATGATTCGGGAAAGGTAAGGGAGGTTTGGGGAGGAAGAGTTTGGAATTTTGGATGCAATTTCGAGGAGTGATAAAGGGCGATTATGGGAATGTAAGATGTCCGGTATACGGAGCTCCACAGCACATTTTAATGCCATGGAATTCACGAAGCTGAAGATGTGTTTCCATATCTCGGCTTGACCTTGAAGAAGAAGATTGGTTGCTTCATCCATGGCTTCCATATCTTTCTTTCTGTTGGCAAGAGAGCAATACAGGTGGGAGGAAAGGTTTTATTATATTAAAGGGAAGCTATCAACTTGTTAGGTTAAATGTAACATCAAGTTGCTGTATTAATTTTCAGAGGGGAAAAAAATAGTACATCTTTACTAATTAAGGTCCGCAGCGGTTTTCATGTGAGAAACAAATCGTAATTGTGAGTTGACGTGTGTGGTTGTCACAGTGTGGTTAATCGAATGGTGGCATTGAAGGAATCTAATTGTGGGAATGAGTTCAAGGTTGATAGAAATCCTCATAGGAAAACTTATTCAACAAAATTTTTCGCATTATTATTAATCTTGTACTGGGTCCAATACAGTGCATACGAGATCGCGTAAATCACAATTATACGAGACCGTTAGTGGTACTCTAAGATGGCAAATGGTTGAAACTTGAAGTTAGAAAATCATTATTTGAACCAATATTAGAATAAATGAGCAACCTATAGTACTCCCCTTTTTCTTGTGTGTGTGTGTGTGTGTGTTTTTTTTTTTTCACAAATAAGAGGAGGCTAAAACATGATAGAAATTGATGTGTCGAAGAATGAGATCACCTCGACAATGGCCTGGATTAGGCTCCCTTGCATGCCCGTCCATCTCTACCACTAGAGGGTCTTTCGGTGGATTGGTAATATTGTAGGAAAAGTGGTTAAAATTGATCATCAAACAGCAGCCATGTCTCATGGTAAATTTACGAGATTGGCTGTACTGTTAGACTTGTCCAAACCATTGTGTGTCCAATTTACGATTCACGTCAAGGTGCAAAGGGTAGAGTATGAATGTCTCCCGGAGATTTGCTTTCAGTATGGTAAATATGGACACTGCAGTGCCGGATGTCTTGATCGTGTACCAAATGCCCCACAAACCAAAGCTGGAGGTTCTACAGTACTCGTTGCCAGTAGCGATGGATGTACACGACGGGCCGCAGGAGAGCCGTCGGAAAAAATGGAATTTGGGCCATCGATGCAGGTGCCGCAGAAAGAAACGATCTCATACAAGAGAGATAAGGGGACAACTAGTCAGCCTACCAAGGTTAATTTTGGTGTTTTATCCAATGATAATGATGGAAATCTAAACTTTAATTTTGGCGTTCAGAAGGATGTCAACCAGAGGGTCCGCCGGTCTATGCCTTCTGCAGAAGAGGGATTAGGGACAAAGGTGTGGAAAGATGCGGGTTCAAATATAGGTGTTGGCTGGTCTGTTGGTCAAACGGGTCGTCGGGTTGGCCCAAAAAACCAGACAAAGGTGGAGTGATCAAGAGTAGTGACTAGTGGGAATCATGATGGATCTGGGGCGTTTGGGCTAGCTGAGAAGGTCCCGAGACAACCCCAAATGCAAATTCAAAGTAAAGAGTCAATGAGTCAGGTAGCTGAGAGAATGGTGTTTGGGCTTGGCTAAATGGCTCTTATGGAAAAAGAAACTAGGTCTGACCCATTGAAATACCAGAATATTATTCCAGTAAAAACTGGACTTGATCCAACAAAACATCAAGCTGTGATAATTATGGACAGCCCGATTCAAACACCCAAATGAGTTTGATCTTGGAGAAGACCGATTGATGGATGGTGACTTTTGTGGTCTACTCAAGGATGAAGCCATGAATGAGGCAGTGGCGTTGGGATCTACAGTCCCAAGTAACACGTGAGAAATAGTGCTCTCTCTTGTCTTATGTTTCATTATGTATAAAGTCGATTGCAAGTATCAAGGGGTTGACTCGAACATAGATTTTCGAGTTGGATTCACTATTAAATGTGAGTTATGTTGGGTCATCTCGACCAAGTCAGGATTGGACTATAACGAGATACCTTTGTTGCAGGTTATAGTATCTCAAATTGTTAGGAGTTTGCCTTTTCAAATCAGTATTATTATTTTTATTATTTTGCTCATACTCATGTGTGGTAACTTAGTAATTTAAGCCTTTCGGCTTCCTTCATCGTACAAAAAAAAATGATAGAAATTAAATTAAAACGTTTCGTGAATGGAAGATCCTAATAATATCGTACTCCAACCACGGTCTTACTTTGGAGGTTGGATTATCTAACCATTGCAAACCAATAGGAAAATTCGCAACTAACAAAATTATATAGTCAGCAGCAAAATTCGACTCTCGATAAATGTGAGTTATCTTCACTGTTCAGCCCCTCTCAATCAACTCACATATATAACGAGTTAGACTTCCATAACAAAGTCTTTATTCCTCACAATCTGCACCAAACTAAGATTATCAACCTTGGCAATTATTTGGCGATATCTCGATTGCCAAGCTAATTGCAACTCTTGATATAAACTCTATAACTCAACGCCGGTAATTAAGACACAACCTATATTAATTCATGACAAAACCTCGACCCGACCTACCAATTTAATCACGCATCAATCCGCCAGCACTTTCTCTCGCAAGATGATTATCAAATGAACTACCAGAGTTAATTTTAACCCAATCTGAAGGGGAGAAATTAATCCACCTAATCATGCAAATTTCACGCCCCACGCCGGTTCCGCGCAACCATTTATCAACTGCTACTGCCGACCTGATGCTGCCAATAAACCCCTCGGCTTCCTTGACCCTATGATGAACAGAAAAATTCTTGGCCACAAATAGCTGAGCATTACGACCCAACCATATCCTCCACATCATAACTCCAAACATAGTAGCCAAATCCTCACGACCAATTCCCATAGGGTGCGTAAGGATGATCCACAGCATTGATGCGTAGTCATAAATGGAGATAATTAATTAATTAATTTGGATAGGCTTCGAAGATTGAGAGCAAAGTTGGAATCTCGGTGATTTTGTAAGAGGGGCCTCAATTTCTGAAAAACATTTTTCCATCTCAATTAACTCCTGTCATTGATTCCACCGGCCGCGGGTTGGGAAATCATTACGAAATCAAATGACATTCTCCGCGCTGCTCTTAATTAAAAGCCTCCTCACATGTAACACCACATCTACGATGAACATCTCCCTCTCTCTTTCCCGAGAGCTGCTGGTTTATAAATCTCTTAGATCTTCAAATAATTTCCATTCGGCACGGCCTTCGTTTCACATCGATAATTCAATTTGTCAAACAACATTTTGTATTTTAGAACTATGAGTTGACCATAATTTGAATAGATCAAAATATTACCTGGAGGGAAAAAAAAGGTAAAATAAAAAGTAATGTATCTGAAAGTTTTAGTTTTTGAAAGAGACCTATCCAACTCAAAGAAATCGAATTAGTCAACGCCATAAATTTGGATATTTGGTATAATATACCCAAAGAAAAAAGTCAAGTACACTTTTTTTCCTTTGCTAATCAAGAATCAAACGTATCTAACTTATTGGAGACTTTTACTAGTAATTGGAACATGAAGAAAACAACCAGAGAAAATAACTTATAATACGCGTTACAACTCATAATAATTTTCATTGGCGGATATGGAGAAAGTTTTTATAGAGTATACTATATACTACATATTGTTGGGTTTCTCCTCAAATTCTCAAGCCCATGAAGCGAGTATTGGGTCACTAAAATCCAATAAGGTTGTAATAGTTGTGTAGGGTTTTAGTATAAATAGGAAGTATTTGTACTAGAATCATTTGGAGAGGAAAGCAAAATGTAGCCACTTGAGAGAGAGTTTGAGCGAGGGGAGGAGAAAATAGGATTGAGTTGAGTTGAGAGTCCTCTTTTATTTTCTTACTCTATGTTAATGGGGTTTTTCCTTCCCGGAGCACATAGTGGGGTGAGTAACAGGAAACACTTTGTGAGAGAATGTAAGGGTAGAATTGAGGGAGAGACATAGTGTGTTGAGAGAGGCTCCACTTTTGTAAACTCTTCTATTTTTATACTAGTGAAAGTGTTACCATTCTCGTAGACGTAGATCTATGAGAGATCAAACCACGTAATTTGTGTTTTATGCTTCTTGTTGTGTTTGTTTGGTTGTTTACTTTAATTCCGGTACGTGTGTTACTGAGTGAATAAAATTCCATCAATTGGTGTATAGAGGGGATCAAAATCCCCAACAAGTGGTATCAAGAGCTAAAGGTTTGAAGTTGGGACTGTTTTTTGAGTGAGTAGAAGAGTTAATTTTTGGTTTGGCATGAAAGAAGTATTTGCTAGCCGATCAGAGATCATGGTTGAATTCCCCATACCAAAAAACGTAGGTAGCCCAAGTTTCATGAGCATTGGACCACCAGAAAGAGAGGAATCGCCGAAAGATGGATTCCGGCCAACGCAGTGTTTTCCAGCCACCGGAGAAGAATATTCGCCGATCGGACACCAGATTTAGATTCTACGCTGTCGAGTTGTGATAGCTGTGAAGTTTGAGAAAAATCCGACTGTTAGATGTTGAGATATCACGGTTTGAAGTTGAGGCGTTCTAGACCGTCCGTTAGAGTGGAGGCTGAGATAAAGAAAGTAGGGTTTTGCTGAGATGCTGACACGTGGCAGCGTGTTATTAAGCCAACTTTGCTGCCAAGTGGTGTCATGTGTTGACAAGTGGCGCGTGTTGATTGGTCCACATGTCTGGAGCTTGAAGTTGGATGCCATGTGACTGTTTGTGATTGTGCCACGTGTTGTTGATATGTTGCTGATGTGTCTGCCAAGTAGGTGCTGACCGTGCTGCCATGTCATCGGTCAAAGTCAAAGTTCGACCACCACGTCATCAGTTGATCGCCATGTCATCAAATTTTTCAGGTGACCTTTCCCCCCTAATTTTGACGTGATGAGTTCGTTTTTGGCATTGGTTTTGTCAAATTCAATTTGGTTGGTGCTGTTTTGCTAGATTGAAGTGTGTTAGGGGTATAGGAAAGTTGTCAAAGATGTGGAGATGCTTGTGTGTGCCTCCAATCTTTGTGGGAGCTGAAATTTTGTGATGTGGTAGAGTGTAATGTTTCAATATTTACTCATGGAGGATAATCTTGATGAATAGATGTGTGGTTTGACGTGTTGAGGATGTGGTGTGGGAGAGAAGTGTACAGACTGTTGAGGTGTTTTGAAAATTAACCGTTTGGATTTGTGTGAGATTTCCTTGTGTCGAAAGTCTACCTGATATGTTGGTCAGGCGGCGTGTCCTGCTAGTCAAGAGTAGCGGTACAAGATGATTGAGTCCTTTGGTTTAGTTTTAAAATTTTGTTAGAGGTTGACGCACTAGGTTTGGGTTGTGAGTCATTTGCAAGGATTGTGACTTGTGTAGAAGCTTGGCCAAGCGCGTGCAGTATTATGATGAGAATACTGTTTTGAAGAGGTCACATCCAGTGGTTCTCTATCATGATGAACAATTGACGAGTTTGGAAGAGATGATAGGAGGAGGAATGTCCAAGTAGAGATGACTCAGTGCTAGTGTGTACTTGTTGTGGTGTGATGATGAAAGCAGAGATAGGTGTGTGTTTTGTTGATATTCCCGCACATGAAGAGGTTGTCCTATTTCCGAAGAGTTGATGATTCGAGATACAGGTTTGTGGTTCACTTGACATTCGTGGTGAATAGCTCAAGTTGAAGATAGAGATGCAAGCCTTGTTCTTGAAGATGATGCTGCACTTGGGATTTTGAGTCGAGGGACGATTTGTTGGGTTTCTCCTCAAATTCCCAAGCCCATGAAGTGAGTATTGGGCCACTAGAGTCCAATAAGGTTGTAATAGTTGTGTAGGATTTTAGTATAAATAGGAAGTATTTGTACTAGAATGATTTGGGAAGGAAAACAAAATGTAGCCACTTGAGAGAGAGCTTGAGTGAGAGGAGGAGAAAATAGGATTGAGTTGAGTTGAGAGTCTTTTTCTATTTTCTTAGTCTTTGTTGATGGTGTTTTTCCTTCCCGGAGCACATAGTGAGTTGAGTAATGGGAAACACTTTGTGAGAGAATGTAAGGGTAGAATTGAGGGAGAGATATAGTGTGTTGAGAGAGGCCCCACCTTTATAAACTCTTTTATTCTTATACTAGTGAAAGTATTGTCATTCCCGTGGACGTAGATCTATGAACGATTGAACCACGTAATTTGTTTTTTATGCTTTTTGTTGTATTTGCTTGGTTGTTTACTTTAATTTCGCTGCTTAATTTATGTGTAGAGGGGATCAAAATCCCCAACACATGCCGGTAACTAACGAGGATATGCTTCTATGATTGAGTACAAAGCTGGAATCTTAGTAATTTTGTAGCGAGGAAAACCTCCTTTCTCAACGAGTGCTTTCCATTCAGATTCTGTCCTCTCCTTCCGAAATGTACCAGTCATCATTACCAAATCTAATTCCATTCCACTGCTGCCCCACACCTCATCGCCCTCAGGATTCAATACCACCTCAACGATGATTACTTTTCCTATTTTCTCGGAGATTGCTTTTCTACAGTTTTTAAGGATTTTCACGCAATCTTCATCGTCCCATATATGCAAGACCCACTGCATTAGTGAACCAAAATCTCAATTTTCGGTCTTAATTATATAATACTACTTCAATCAAATCACGAGACAAATGGCAACCCAAAAAGGTCGATATTCTTGAATCAAATTTCCGGTCATAATGTTGAACTATATTAATTATAGAACAGAAGAAAATATTGGTAACAGTTAATATGTACCTTCATGAAGACAGCTTTGGCAGTAGGGACCTCCTTAAACACGCCGCCAACATGGGACACTCCGACGTGTTCCGGTGCCGTTGCAATGACATGGGGCAAATCGAAATTGATGCCTCTAATGTGTGGATGAACCTTAACTATTTCAGCTATAGTTCGTCACTTTGTCCAGTTCCTCCACCGACATCCACCATAGATTCCAAACCATCAAAAACAACCTTTTTGAGCGCATAAAGGATTGCATGCATTGTTATTTTCCCAGTGCACGACAATTCCATCATTAAAAACCTTATTGAATTCCGGGTTTGTGGCTGCAAAATCCCACACATTAAATCCATGTTCGTTTTCAAATGGAATCGTCCCACCTTCCCTCACGCAACCACTTAGCCGGTGCCTTGGACTAATAGACCGTGGATGAAGATTCATCAACACAAATGGACCTAAGCTTAACTCGGTGGACCCGGTTACGAGCCAGCTTGAGGCCGGAGTTGGGCCGTAGAGCACGGAGCCGGACGAAATTGTGGAAGTGAATATTTGGCTGTGGACTAATAATCGCATGATTCGAGAGAGGTAAGGGAGGACATTGGGAGATGAAGAATTGGTGATTCTGGATGAAATTTCAGAGAGGGATAAAGGTCGATTGTGAGAGTGTAAGATATCGGGAATTTGGAGCTCCACCGAACATTTTAGTGCCATGGAATTCACATAGCTGAAAATGTGTTTCCATACATGGGCTTGTCCTTGGAGCTGAAGCTTTGCTGCTTCATCCATGCTGGCTTCCATCTTTTATAAAAGTTTGGCAAGGCAAATGCAGAAGTGAAAATGCAGTGGTCGTTTAATTAGAACAAAACATATGCAGTATTCATGTCAGGAAAATTATGAGGAAAAGCGTTATTAATTTTTTCATTCATAATTGGCACACATATTAAGGCCTTGGTCAACGTTATGCCTTGCTTTAAAATAAAAAATAAAAATAATCCAGAGCCATGCATATGGAATTAAACAAAAAAAATTTTTTAGAATAAAGACTCAGGCTTTATAACTAAGTTACTGTTTTACGAGAAATATATTGTCCCTCTAACAATATATAAAGTTGAAACCATGATTTAATGTATTATAGAATGATTTCGAGCCACTGGGATTATGGGTTGTTGTCCCGGATTTGGAAAATTCGAGAACTTAATTAAACGGGTTTTCAGATTTGCCAAATCCGAAACATTTTAATATAATAAAAAATAATATATTTTCTTTAGTTCAGAAAATACAAAAAATAGAGTCAAAAGGAGAACAGTAAACTCGGATTTACGAAATCTGAAAGCCTTTAAATTTAATATTAAAAAGTGAACAAAAATGGCGGGCAAATTCAAAAATTGGAATAGTAAACTCGGATTTGCCAAATCCGAGTTCTAGGGTTTAGGGCTTAGGGTAACCTCTCGGATTTGCCAAATCCGATGGCATCCTTTTTGTTTAGAAGTAATCCGTCCATGTGGATAAGGTTGTTGGATGTATTAAATTGGATTGGATAAGATGACGGACATTCGGATTTGACAAATCCGCGAGCCCCACGTGAATAGTGACTCTCGGATTTGCCAAATCCGAAACATACGTGATGTAAAAAGAAAAAGTTGCAGATTCTCTTCATATCGGGGTTTTCAACTTGTGAGGGTTAGTGAAGGTTGTGCCTGGAGTTTTTCAGGCTTTTGGACGCATATTACCACTAAATGCAACAAGAATCGTTATTCTAACGACGTTAGTCATTAAATCAATGTTATTTTAATTGTTTTGTTGTGTATTTATATTGTTTGAAGATGAAAGATTGTTAGGAGTTAGGTTTGATGATTATGAATGTAATATGGTAATGTAGATGTTGTTGTTGAGTTTATAGGTTAGGATTGTTGTTATTTTAGGAATTGATTGAGGTTAATTTAATGAATTTGGATGGATTTTGTTTGTATGGAAATTTGATAGAGTTTAGGGATTATGATTTTGATTATGTTGAATTATGATTAACATGTCAATAACGATTAAAATGTCCGCGCACAGGTCATACATACTTAATTTGTTTCATAGAAGTATGTGATAGAGAATGCTGTAGTGAACACATTTGAGAACAAGCCGGACGACACACTTGTTATTGATAGTAGGTTGTCATATGATGAGTTGCTTGGTTTGATTTGTGTGGCGTTCGGTTGGAATTTTGAAATAGCTAGGAAACTCCACATTTCGTTAATCTTTGTGACTCACAGTGTAAGGCGTGCCATGAAGATAAAGAAAGATTCACATGTTGGGATCATCTACCACCTCGAGCCAATGACAAGTGTAGATTTGTACATAGACACAGAGGATATCACTAACCAAGAAGATGGAAACAATCATTATGGTGGATCTTTCTTTGCACAAGATAATCACATGGATGAGGGTGAACAAGATGGTCCAAGGCAAGAACAAGCAAGCACTTCACGGGTTCATGAAGAAGATGGTGAAAGTTTATTTGCAGAATATGATCACATGGATGAGAATGATTCAGACTACGTAGCTCCAAGCGGAAGATCGGAAGCACGCGATCCCTCTTCAAGTAGTGATGATGAGGAAAGTGATGACGAAGAATTAATGAATGAAGAAAGGGAACTAAATCCATTTTCCCGGTGCCATGTGTATAAGGAAATGGTGAATGGAATGACTCGAGTGTTTACAATGATGATCTTGGTATAAAAATATGGGACGAGACTGCCGAAGGGATAGGCATTAAAGTTTGTTTCAAGTCCCAGGGAGAAGCGAAACATGCCTTGAAAAGTGGAACATCTATAATAAAACGGAGTTAAAGGTTATCGCAAGTAACCTTTCGACGTGGGCGGTTCGATGTAGGACTTTAGATTCCCCCTCCCTCCCAAGATGGCGAACCTATATGCAATTGGAGAATTCGCGTGTCACTAGGAAAGCATGTGTTGGATCAAATAGTGAAATGGCGGCCCGTACACAATTGCATGAAGGTGGTTAACAATAACGACAACTGTTGTGTGGACTCGGCATTTATTTGTAGACTAATCATGAGAAAGGTTGCGAACATCGTAGGTTATACGGTAAAATCGGTGCAAAAAGATGTAAAGGAGTTAGTAAAAGTTGATGTCCCTTACAAAAAGGTCTGGAACGAGAGGAGAAAAGCCATAGAGGCGGTTCATGACGGTTGGTCCTCCAATTTTGAAGATATTCCTAGGTAAATTTCAATTTTGATAAGTGTCAATTAATTTGTTTTAGTTTTTACTTGTATTTGCAATATTAACTGGAGCAAACTTTATGTGTAAGTATATTGAAGCACTTAAGTGTACTAATCCCGAAACTGTAGTGGAATGGGAATGGAAGGAGGGAGAAGAAGGTTGGAATATAGGAAGTAGGACTTTTAAATACGTGTTTTGGTCATTTTGCACCAGTAGTGGACACTTTCCTTGAATGACCGCCGGATTTCTGTTGATGGAACACACCTACGTGGGGGATACAAGGGTAAGTTGCTAGTTGCTGTGGTGTATACCGCAAACAAACACATTTTACCGGTTGCATTCACCGTGGTTGATGAAGAGACCACTGAAAGTTAGGCATTTTTCATGAAAACACTTGAGGTATCATGTTGTGGGTGATACCAAAGTTAGTGTGATTTCCGACCGGAACGCTGGGCTTTTGAGGGCAATGTCGAAAATACCAGAATAGAGCAATTTAGGTGATGGGGCCCCACATGTATTGCCTCCGGAACGTTCGGAGCAATCTAGTGTCGAAATATAGGAGTGCGAGAGTGAAGCGGTTATGCCAAAATATGGGGAAGATGCTTAATGGAGCAATGTCGGATGTTTACCGGTTTTTGGAATTGATTTTTCGATTGGAAGACGTCTCGGATTTGGCAAATCCGAGTCAGTTTGGGGTGTAAAAATGGTTGACCTTTTTCCCCCAATTCATTTTCGTCCTCTTCCCCAATTTTACCCTACTCCACCGTGACACCACCTTCTACCACTGACAAGCCGTCGTCACACTAGTCAAATATTAATTACCTACTTAATACAATTACTAGCAGTAAAGTAGCAGACAGGGTCGATCCCACAAAGAAGGTTACCAAGTACCGGTTAAATTATTTCTTATTATTATTTAGATTAATAATTTATCAATTTAAACTAATCTAAACCTAAAACTATCAATTGTAATTATTTAAAGATATAAATAAGTAAAAGAAAAACCTAGGGCAAAGGGTTCACCAACCGACTATTCATTTTAACTCAACCTATAGATATGTGACTTTGGACTTTCATTAATCTCACAACGATTCACCTATTTAAGAACTATTCACTGTCGTGAAATTATTCTCTTACTCAAACTAACCCTATGACTATTGTCGTGACTATAGGATTTAATTAGAGTACATTAAGAACCCTAGAATCTATAGCTGCAAAGACAGTGTTCCTACTTTCATGGCCCACTATCTAAGTTTAATATTCCCAGGAACTAATGTTGACCTTCAACCGTCGTTCCTTCAGTTAAACACCTTTTAGGCATGCAAGTGGTGATCAAATATTAACATGGAATAAAAGCAAGAATATTAAATATCAACTAATGAAAAAATTACAATCATAAATTAAATTAAATTAAATAGTACGGCGGCTACATCCAAAACCCTAGATTAAATACTTTAGCTACACATCATCTTAAAAATAAATAAATCAATGGAACCCGGGAGAAAGTCAGCCGAAAGTTGAGTCTGAGGTTGATGCGTTGTTGCTTGCTTCCTCCGATGATGCGTGAAGATGATGATGGTGTGCGTAGAGGGTGATGGGGCTGATGGTGTGATGATGCGTGGTGATGGTGCGTGGAGAAGGGGGTGATGAGGTCGGCAGAGGAGTTGGCTGGGGTTTTGGGTTTTTTTGGTGAAGGGTTTTGTGGTGTGGGGTTGTAAGAAGGAAGCGTGGGGGTTGTGTGGAGGAAGGGTTTGGTGCATGGAATTTTGGGCCTGGGAGTTGGTTAAGTTCTCTCTCAAAAATAAAACCTTAATCCTCCTTTTATAGGCTTTCGTCAAACCCTATTTCTTCAGGAATAAGAAAATTATTTTTTTTCAAGCGAATTTAAATTAAAACTCCTCCAACTCTTCAAGTGCTTCAATTTCTTCCTTTGAGTTGCTTTTATCTTCAATTTAGTCCAAAACCTCAACAATTCTTCTATTTGAGTACAAAACCTACAAATAAAGATAAAATCATATAAATAGCATATTTGTACTCAAAATATATTGCAAAATCACAAATTAGGGATATAATAAATAGATAAAATATAAACATATCAACCACTCCCTCCGCCCCTGTCAGGCATCCCCACCAATCGGCTGCCGTTCCCCATCACCACCGGCCTCCCCTGTGCATTCCTCCACCACCGTGCCGGCCTCCCCTGTGTGAATCCTCCGCCACAGCCGGTCTCCTCCACCGCCGCTACTGCCGCCGCGATTCCTCCATTGCCGCGCCGCCGCATCATCCTCCCCCCTCTCCTTTGCCATTTCTTTGACTAAAGTAACAACCTAATTTCATTTTGCCCTAATTTTTTCCCCAAATTAATTTTGCCCTAATTTGATTATTATTATTATTTTTTTTTGTAATTGTTGCTCCCTAGTGTATTTTAAAGGATTGAATGTTCTATTTTTGGTTGTTATTGCGCATTCGTTTTATTGATTTGTGGGTGGTTAATTTTTTTGTAGTTGTGGGTGGTTAAATCCGAGAGTAATTGTTTTTTTTATGTATATATATTGTTGTTTATAATGTTTATTTAGTTGGAATTGTTTCAGTTGTTGGAACTGTGGAATTGTTTGTAGTTGTAATTGTGTTTGTTGAGTTTAGGATATATAGTGTATATATAGTTGGAATTGTTTTTTTTATGTTATATATAGTGTTGTTTAAGTGATTTTTTTTGTTGTTTTTTTTTGTTGTGGTGTAGTCTTTGATGGAAGATTCACCCAGTCCGCCACCGAGTCCACCATAATATAATGAGTGATTTCTTTAACCCTGTCCTGTACGAGGGGAACTTTTGTATCTTCAAGCTCAACATCGAAGTTTAGCAGTCTACCACGGCTCCGATTCAACGATCAAAATCGAACATTTAAAAAATTATCGGTTTGATCAAAAATTTTAGGAGTGCTACTATAGTCATTTTACCCCTCCACAGGTACGAACGCTCATGGTAAGCACCGGGTTCGAGGGGATATTAGAAATAGATTGCAAAAAGTGTGATAATTGTCTCATCACCACATTGGTGGAACGATGGAAACCTGAGACATACACTTTTCACTTTCTATTTAGTGAGGCAACCGTGACGTTGCAAGATGTGGAAGTCCTATTTGGTCTCCGAGTCAATGGGGACGTGGTTTGAGGTGTGGCTCCAAACCGTGGTGTGGCGCAATGGCAAGAGATTTGCCAAGAAATGTTGGGATTCACCCTTGTCGCGAGTTGAATAAGTGAAAATACTCTTAAGATTTCGGTTGTAGAGGAAGCGACGGACCGTGCAATCCTTGAAGGTAATATTTAAATTTATTTATATTTTTTAATATAATTTGAATTAATTACTTTTTTTGGCCAAACAAATGTTAAGGTTTGAATTGTTATTTTTGTAGGTTCTCCGGAGATCGTTTATCAACAAAGGGTCCGATTAATGCTCATATGGTTTATGGGTTCTTTTATGTTTCCGAACAGAAGTCAAAACAGTGTTAGTTTATATTTATTGAACCATTTGGCAGATTTTTGTCATTGTGCAAAACTTAGTTGGGGATCAGCTCTTCTTGCTTACTTTTATTCTAGCCTGTGCGAGGCTAGTAATTATGAGAAGCGTGATGTAACCGGTGTGTGTATCTTTTACAGGTATTTATATATTCAATACGTGGTAATTCAATTTGAAAAACATTTATTATATTGTGAAATATTATTATTTATTGTTGTTGTTATTGATTTAGGTTTGGGCATACGAGCGGATCCCGAGAATCATGCCCCAAAGAATTTTAAAGAGATTTGAAGAGGATCCTACAGCTCCTTTAGCATATCGGTGAGTTTATTTCCTATACTCTTAATTTAAAGATTACTAATATTCATTATTATTTTTATTGGATAAATAATACCTTTGATTTTTTTTTTTTTGTATTGAAAGGTGGAATTGCTCGTACTCCTATAAGGACATCCCAAGGTCTAGTTTTCCGGGTTCTAGAAATCAATTGACCGCCTTAAAAGCCAGTGACGTAAGCATGAATAACTTTTTATTCCATTATTTTTTTTTTTGCCACCATTCTTATGTGAATTAATTCTTCGTTAATTCCTAATTTTTTTCACAGTTTGTTTGGCAACCCTACAAGGATCTCCTTCCTACCCTCCTTGATTGTTGTAAATAGGGAAGTGCCATTTGGATGGCAAGGACGTGGATGTTCTACTAAGCTATCCGAGAACCCCACGAAATTGACAGGGTCGTGAGACAGTTTGGCTACATGCAAGCTATTTCCTGATGGCCTATGATTGCCAATATCCAAGAGAATCAGAATGCTCACGAACACAACATGTCTGGGCTTACTGAGAAAAATTGGGTAGATCACCATAGTAAAGTACGCCCTCATTAGAATAGGAGACACCGAAACATTCCATCGGATTTGGAGGTAGGAGAGGAGCTCGGTCAAACTGATGAGAAGTACGAAGTGTAGCATAACAAATCTTCAGTGAAATTGATAAGCGATCCGAGCCACTATACATCAGCCGAGTATGAGTCTTCCTCGAGCCGAGTGAAAGTAGTTTATTTGCAATTAATCTACGTATGGAAGTGCATTTTACTCTATTCATATAAATTTGGAATTATACTCCTTTAGTTAACGCATCATTTGATTTCTAGGGTGAAGTGCTGAACAATGTCCGTATGAGGGCTATATCATTTCGAGAAGAACGTCGTAGAGCCCATGACCTAGACAACGAGCTCGAAATGGTGCTCGACTATTTCGCGGACGTAACTCATACTTCTTTAACTCTCGAAAAGGACGATCAGATGGAAATTGAGCATTCCCAAATCCTTGTGAAATATGAACCGCGTCGCCCCTCACAAGGTCCGCGTGGTGAAACAATGAAGCCGTTGCCAAGAGAGAAAATTGAAGGAGGAAGAAAGCGAAAGAATCCTTTCAGGCCATCATAGGATCACACGGAAGGTTCGGACCAACACGAGCAAGAGAACCTAGGAGGAGAGAATGTGGGAGGAGGGGAGAAAATGGGAGGAGACAATGTGAGAAAAGAGGACGATGTTGGTTCTTCGAGAGGATCTTACACCCCACATGAAGAAGAGGTATCTCTCACCATTACTCTCGGAGGAGAATCGCAAGTCCTAAACGTTGAGACAATTCTTACAATCCGTCCAGAGCCGGAGGAACAAGGGGTTCGTAAATCCGACAGGACGTGCAACCCGCCGGTTAACTTTACCCGGCCCTTTATTCCTAGGAGAGGGAAAGGGAAAAAATGATTGTTGATTATTCTTTTTAGGGTTTTCGAATGATTTGGATTATAAGTTGAGAATTTTACATTATTTTGTTATGAAAATGTTATCGTTTTGTTGTTGAATTAGTTTGTTATAAATTGGTTGTTAGTGTTGTTTAAATAGGGTTAGGACTGGTTTTCACCAATCCATTATTTTTTTTTTCAGGTTTCTGGTATGTCTCAGATTTGACAAATTTAAAAGATACCATTTTGGGTTCTTTCGGATTTGGCAAATCCGAGAGTTCTGCAGAATCTGCGGACTCTCGGATTTGCCAAATCCGAGACTCCTCCTATCTATTTTAACACTTGGAATTTTTTTTTGAAATTTAAAATAATATTTTATTCGACAATTCGGATTTCGCAAATCCGAAATACCTTGTCTCGGATTTGGGTGATCCGTTTCTAGTCAACTTTAATTTTCAAACACTTGGTATTTTTTGCAAAAAAAAAAAAAAAATTTACTGAATCGGATTTCTCAAATCCGAAACCTGATTAATTTTAATTAATCATTTAGTTTAATTTAATTAATTTCAAGTTAGACGACTTTCGGATTAGCCAAATCCGTATTTAGCTTCTCTCGGATTTGTGAAATCCGACTTCTTCTTGCTCTCGGATTTGACAAATTCAAAACATCTACTTCTGTGCATCTTTTTCCTTTTCACATTAGTTTTGTCCAAGTTCTTCTCTTGATGATTTTTTTCGGTAAAAAACTCCTGATTGGTCGTGTACATTCATCTTTTTCTTTTCCATTATTATTGTCCAGTTTAGATTATGTATCTGGACTCGCTACCACTAAAAAATATCAAATATATTGTTAGAAAATTCGCTTAGTATCTACCATCTTTGGAAGGCTCCCCTCCCCATAATGTGAGTCATCGCTTGCTTTTCGCCTTAAAAGAAAATTGGGGGAGTTCGTGATGAAATCTAGGAAGACTGGAAGGGTGACGAAATATTTTTTCAGAAATGTACTCTCTTCGTCCCATTATTATTGTCCAGTTTAGATTTTTATTTTTATTTCAAATTGTATTAAAAGTAAAATCTTAAACTGGACAATAATTTTGAGGCATGGGGAGTATTTGGTTATGGAGACTAGAGTGATTGACCATCTTTTTGGAAGAATTTAGGGGTGCTGCGTGGTGAACTGACGTACATTGATAGTATTTATTCGATCGGGAGAAACACGTCAACTGATTTCTGATTTGCTTCCACATACATGAACTGATATATAAATTGATTATCCCTCACCTTACTTCTTGCCCAACTTGATTGGTCATGTACATTCATCTTTTTCTTTTCCATTATTATTGTCCAGTTTTCTTTTCTTAAACTGGAAAAGAAAAAGATGAACTCATATGTTTACATGGAGATATGTACACGACCAATCAAGTTGGGCAAGAAGTAAGGTGAGGGATAATCAATTTATATATCAGTTCATGTATGTGGAAGCAAATCAGAAATCAGTTGACGTGTTTCTCCCGATCGAATAAATACCATCAATGTACGTCAGTTCACCACGCAGCACCCCTAAATTCTTCCAAAAAGATGGTCAATCACTCTAGTCTCCATAACCAAATACTCCCCATGTCTCAAAGTTATTGTCCAGTTTAAGATTTTACTTTTAATACAATTTGAAATAGAAATAAAAATCTAAACTGGACAATAATAATGGGACGAAGAGAGTACATTTCTGAAAAAATATTTCGTCACCCTTCCAGTCTTCCTAGATTTCATCACGAACTCCCCCAATTTTCTTTTAAGGCGAAAAGCAAGCGATGACTCACATTATGGGGAGGGGAGCCTTCCAAAGATGGTAGATACTAAGCGAATTTTCTAACAATATATTTGATATTTTTTAGTGGTAGCGAGTCCAGATATATATCTCAGGAGTTTTTTACCGAAAAAAATCATCAAGAGAAGAACTTGGACAAAACTAATGTGAAAAGGAAAAAGATGCACAGAATAAATTATATTGTACTTTTAATGTAATTTTTTGTACTTTTAATCGAGTTTCCTTTCATTTGTTGTTGTGGAGTATTCTGAAAAGTAAAAACTGGTAAGTAAATATGTTAATTCTCTCCTACTGCAGTTTAGGCAAATTGTAAACCGTATGTGGTGGTGTTTTTTTTTTAATTTTTATTTTTATTTGTTTGGTTCTTCAATTCCACAATCGAAGTTAAAACTGAATGGACAGGATTCATGAACAAGGAAAATGCAGTCAAAACTCAAAACAATGGAATGCCATTTCTTCTACCTTCTAAAAGGAAAATGAAAACTAGAAAAAAGAAACATATGAACTTAGGAATTTATATATTGCGAGAAAAAAAAAATATATTAGTGAAAATATCCACTCTTGCACTTGAACTTCCGTTGGTTAACTTATATATGTTGGTAGAAACATGGAATTCCACTATTTCTTTTATGTAATGTTTTATTAATTAATTTGCAAAGGGTAACTACGGTGGATTGGCAAGATGTGTTAGGTCTCTTATGGTAGTTTCGTAGTTTATATATTGCCGGGGAGAAGGTAGGGAAAATATTCACTCTTGAAGTTGAATTTCAATATTGAATAATTTATATTGATATAAATATGGAATTCTACAATATAATTTATTTTGTGTAATCTTTAATTAATTAAGTTGCAAATAGTAAACTGTGATGGATTGGTGAGATGTGTGGCATGTGTTAGATTCTCTGTTAGTAGTTTATATATTGCGGGGAGGAAAAAAGTAGTGAAAAGATTCGCTCTTGAACTTGAAATTCTGTTGGTTAGCTTACATTAGTAGCAATCTGGAATTCTACGTACCATTTCTTTTCTGTAATATTTTATTAATTAAATTACAAAGAGTACTAACTGTGATGGATAACGGGGAAAAAAAAAAGTAATGAAAATATTTACCCTTGAACTTGATCTTCTGTTGGTAGAAATCAAGATTGCTAACATTTCCTTTGTACAATATTTTATCGCTAAAATTTCAAAGAGTAATTGGGATGGACTGGTGATATGTGATACATCAGTTAGACTTGATGTTAAAGCAACAATGGATGGATGATGAGGCGACTTTGGGATCTACATTCTCTAGATATCTCGAAAGATTGTTTAGATGCGGTAGCATTATTTGAACTATGGATATCACAACATCAAGAGAATGTTATTGGCATTATAGAGAGATAATACAAGATATCAACAAGTTACTGAATAAGGATTAGTTTGAGAAATTTTAGTATATTTTTATGTTGTACCTAAAAAAGAAGTGTTAGATTTTTTTTTTATTATACTTGATATAGAAAACGACTTGGTCGGGAGTTATCATTTACAAAATGTAATCGCTAGATTTTTTAGGCTCTCCTTCATTACACCAAAATAAATATATAAATCTTTGAAAATAGTTTGTATACGGTGTAATGGATTGTAACGTGAGTCATAATTTTTTTATTGTTATATCAATTTATGTTTTCCTTTTATATAATTTACATTATGATATTATACATTCGTGCGTTCGATCCATTTAATATTAATTAAATTGTAAGAAGTAACTGTGATAGATTGGGGGGCGGGTGTATTAGGTTCTGTCACTAGTTTAGTAGGCTGCCTTGTCCGTTATCAAATTCCTCTTCTACCTCATGGAGAAGGAAAAAAGAAAACAAGAGAGAGAAAAAAATTCATAGTTTGAAATTGTACTAATATTAATGGAAATAGGGCACCCAATTTTATTAATTCCATAAAGAGGTACATCACGACAAAATTATTTAGGACTTGCCCAAACAAAGATTTGCCTTAAAATACTTGTTGGGAGAGATTTGTCTCTGGAAAGGACATACATGACTCGCATCTGGATTAGTCGGAACAATGATTTTGACACCGAATGCGTAATATAAAATTTTTTTTTGCCTTAATTAAGATGCAGCAAGAAATGGAAGATGACGTACTTAAACACTCAGCCTTTTCCATTCAATACATATTTATTTTTAAAACATGAAAACATGATCAATTTAGGCAAACGATTTTGTTGTACTTTTGTTTACTTTAATCTCCACGGACCATGATGCTTGCAAGGCAAGATGGTCATGGTTATTTGTTACGAGTCTTATAATATTAATAATAATGCAGAAATGGATACTTGGAAAAAGGGATCCAAGCCTCCATTGTGAGTTATCGGCTTCCTCGTAACTCGTAAGAACCGGAATCTTGTGAAATTCTGCAAGTGAAGAAGAACGCCAATATATAAGCAACGTCACCAGATCTCAATATTTTAGCTTAGGCTAAAATTGCTTACCATCCTTAATTAGGATAGGCTTCTATGATTGAATACAATGATGGAATTTTGGTGACTTTGTAGCGAGGAAAACCTCCTTTTTCAAGAAGAGTTTTCCATTCCGATTCCGTCCTCTCCTTCCCAAATGTATGAGTGATCATTACCAAATCCAATACCAGTGCACTGTTACCAAACACCTCATCCCCATCCGGGTTTAATACCACATCAACTATGAATACTTTTCCTGTTTTTTCGGGTATCGCTTTTCGACATTTTTCCAAGATTTTCACGCAATCTTCTTCGTCCCAGTCATGCATGATCCGCTGCATTAGTGAAACAATAACTATAAGTAATAATATTTTGTTTTGAAATGTTACTTTCTCCGTCCCGATATTATTGTCCTGTTTAAATTTTTATTTTTTATACAAATTGAACTGCATGTGAAAATCTAGGTTGAATAATAATTTTATGATTAAGGGAGTACTAAATTCTAAACTTTACTTAAAATAATTACTAGGAGGTAATACTAACGCACCTTCATAAGGACGGCTTGAGCACTAGGGACCTCCTTAAACATGTCGCCGCCGACATGAGAAACTCCAGCAAATTCCGGTGCCGTTGCAATAACATGGGGCAAATCAAAATTGATGCCTTTAATATTTGGATAAACCTTAACAATCTCAGCTATAGCTTGTCCAGTTCCTCCACCGACATTGACCATGGATTCCAAACTCTCAAAAGCGTAAGCATCCTTTTTAAACCCGGAAAGAATCGCATGCATTGTGATTCTTCCCGTGCATGCCATTCCATCGTTAAAAAGCTTGTTGAATTTCTGGTTTTTCGCGGCAAAATCCCAGATATTGCATCCATGTTCATTGTCAAATGGGGTCCCACCTTCGCTCACACACTCACTTAGCCGATGCCATGGACTCAAAAACCAGGGGTGCAAATGCATGGACATATATGGAGCTAAGCTCAACCCGGTAGACCCGGTTACGAGCCAGCTCGAGGCGGGAGTTGGGCCGTAGAGCACGGTGGAGGAATCAGGCGAAGTGGTGGAAGTGAAGATTTGGTTGTGTACTAGAAAACGCATGATTCGAGAGAGGTAATTAACGGTATTTGGGGATGGAGAGTTATTGGTGATTTTGGATGCAATTTCAGAGAGGGATAAAGGTCGATTGTGAGAGTGTAAAATGTCGGGTATTCGGAGATCCACAGCACATTTTAGTGCCATGGAATTCACAAAGCTGAAGATTTGTTTCCATACATGGGCTTGTCCTTGGAGCTGAAGCTTTGCTGCTTCATCCATGCTGGCTTCCATCTAGATATATATGTAGTTATGTTTAATTAAAGGGGTAGGCTAGCTTGCTTGATCGAGAATGTGTGAAAAAACTCATGAAGCATCAACGTTATTTATAACACCAAAAGTTCTCAATAGATGTAACAAATTTTGCATGACCTCTTTTGTCTAAACAGCGTAATACACTGAAATACGTTATTGCCTCACGCAAAACTGGGGAGAACCTTCCACACAAGCGTAAAACATTAATGTACCTATATTGTAACGTCAAATCAAATCAAAGGAGAAGAAAATCAATGTGAAATTTGAGGAATGAGGGGAATGAATATATATTGGACCCCTTCCCTTTCTAGCTAGGCAAGCAAATGAAATGTACTGTGTGGCTCTGGACAACTCCCATGGTTTCTTAATCTTGACTCGCTAAACTGTGAGTTCCCTTTGGTCGCCCAATATTTGATGAAAGTCTTCCTTAAAATATCAGTCAGTCAGCATACTTTTTGGTTTGATTCTTTTTTTGGGCACGTGCGTGGTTTCTCTTCTTTTTTTTTTGAAAGGGGTGCATGGTTTTTCTTTTCTGCATATGTCTACCGTCGGCAACAGTAACTAATTTTCCTCGCTAAATTGTAGGCACCTCGATGGATGTGGGTGCATGGTTTTTCTAATTATGCTACTATACTACATTATGGATGGAGACTTTTGTTTACAAAGTATGACTCCTATAACAGTATCTATAATCCTATTCTCTAGAAACCTTGACTGTGGCAAAACTATTACTTCTATTCTCTCAAAATGATGGTTCTGTTTGGTTTTTATTATTTCGACGGCGAAAATAGATGAAAATTTAATTGTATTTTCCCTTCCAGAATAGTTGAAAAAATGAAAAGAAGTCGTATGTGTCCATCCAACATCACTCTCCCTCCTTTCATTTGACAAATAAAAGCATAGTGATCCTGCAAACTTTCTTATTAGATTGCCACACATTGGCCTTATATATTTATCATTAATGAAGAGTTGTGCCATTTAAAGAAAAAAGAAATAAAAAAGAAGTATAAAAGGTCACGATTGAGAATTAGTCACACTTTTGGTTCAACTCCAAGAAATTTTAAAATAAAGCTCCACTATGTTTTTTCTTTTAAAATAAAAACGATACACCATCCCATTTTATTTTAATAATTTAAATTTTGATAATATTTTTAACCGAACAAAGGAAACTCTTAGAATGCAAGTAGAGTGAAAGAGTATTAAAATGTACAAAAGGAAAAAAGAAAAAGGGTACTAGAATGTAGAATAAGAACATTCTTCTTTGACTGTCTAAATAATGAAGTAGACTAAAATTAACCAGTCATGTGTTGACTGTACCATGACTAAAATTATGTGTTGACTAAAATTAACCAGTCATGTGTTACTGTTGAATTCAAAGTGCATGGACTAACAATGAGTTGTCTAATCTAATCCAATTAATATTTGTTTCATTGTTTGAAACTTTGAATAGTATAATATAATCTAACTGCATTGGTCCAGTTTGGACTTAAAAAATCAACAGTAACATATGGTCCGTAATCAAAGTAAAAAATGTAGAAAAAAAGAGGTTATGATTATCAAACTGTGATCGTAGTCACACTGGCAGTATTTTACATCTATTTGCTAATTCAAGTCTCGCTTGCTCAAAGGGAAAAAAAACTTCAACAAAAGGCAGCAGCTTGCATTATTTGTTATGTCTATGTACTCTAAGTATATAGTAATCCTGGTATAGACATGAGAAAAAAGAAACTCTTTATTCATTTTCGGTGTTTTCTTATACGAAAATGCGTTTCATCACTATAGTGAGAGAAATGGAACACAATATGACCTCATCGGCATCATAAAGGATCAGTCACAAGTTTCTCTGGATTCTGAATTAAGAGGGATGTGCATTTCTCGCACCCATTTAGGGACAATAATTTATGTGTCTATACTTTTGCTGATAGGGAATTATATTTTGTTATGTTCCCCCAAATTTTATTAGTATGCTCTTAAAACATGATCGTAGGAGTTCATCTAGATGACTAAATGTAATATGAGACATTAGTCACTAGCAAAAATTGTTTACCAAAAAAAAAAAAATGTAACACAAAATGCGAGATAAATGTAACTCCAGATAATATTTTTGATTCGGAAGTGGGGCGGGGGAAGCTTCTAAACAAACAAATAATGTTAGTAAATAAACAAAAAACATACACAAAACGTATGTATGTAAAGAGAGTAGTGGACGAGTGACGAAGGACATATAATTTGGACAAGGACGGTAGAGACTAAATAATTAATAAAGAGAGCTATACTTTTGAATAATTTATATTAGGGGCATAATCAGTCAACCATATAAATATGTCTTTAGGAGTTTAATTATCAATAAAAAAACTTATTATTACATCAATTTAAATTCTTCTGAAGTTCATTTAATTTTATTTTTTTCTCTAAGCCTGATTAATATAAAAAATACTAAAGTGGTCAATGACAAAAAAAAAAATTAAAGGTAAAAATTTGTAACATTCTTAAATTTTAAAGTTTTCACTAATACGAAATATTGAGCAATTTAAGTAACTCTAGTAAAATATGTTGTATGACTCGTGTAAGTACAACTTTTTTTGGGAAAGAAAAATTGAACTAATGTCAAAGCAAAAAAAAAAAAAAATTACTTAAAAAAGTTAACATTATATGAAAAAAAAATCTCTTATCAAAAATTAAGAATTATTAACTTTTATTTATTAATGTCAGCATAAATATATTTTTTTCATCATTTAACATATTACTTTTTTCATATTGAATCATTGTGCCCCTAAAACAAATTATTCAAGAGTATTGCCCTCTTTATTAATTATATTTACTCTCCGCTTCCAAATTTTTCCAAAAATAAAATAATTAGGAAAGTGGCACGTATTTGTCCGAATGCGTGTGATCATAAAGACGACGACGACCATGCCGGACAATCTTTGCCGGTGATTTTGGGCTGCCTATTACGCTTTTCTCTTTGTTTCCTTCCCTCCCTCAAATTCCCAATCCTTCACGTTCCTCCTCCGATTAACCTAATCCTATCTTTTACCCACCTCCCCCTTTTTTCCATTCAATTCCATCATCTTTTCTATCTGTGTTCCTGTTCTCCGCTGCTTGATTACAGAGGCTTCAATTCAGATCGGCCTTACCGATTCACGAGGTGAGCGGGTTTTCCTTTTCAATCGGATTTCTGATTGTATCCCTGTTGTTCGATTGTTTTCGTTTGCGGGAATTTAGTCATATGGGTGTTTTGGACGTATTCCCCCCAAATTGCCCTAATTTTGGTTGCTGGTAATTGTTTCCCGACCGCTGAATTTTAGCTGAATTTTGCTTCGATTAGCTGTTTAGTGGACTAATAATTGAGCATCCGTTATCTTATTTGTTTAGAATGGCTTCTTGTTGATTTTTTTCGGCCTTCTTGTGAATTGTAGGATTAGGGGTTAATGGTTTTGATGTGTTTCTTTTGAATTTTAACTTCTGCTTGATCACTAGATGCTTCTTTTTTTAAACAAAAAAAAATTAATTTTTTAAACTTTTAGTTGTAATAAATAAACTGAGCTCTGCGTCACAAATTATGACACAATTATGGCTTGTAAAGCTTTTGGAGGTACTTAGCCTGCTAATTTTGATTAGTCTGTTCTTCATACTTCAGTTACCTTGGTAATTGTTGATGGTTTGATGTCTTCCCATTGTTAATCTGATACATTAGAGCAGAAAGGAACTTACGGTTACTTCTAATGGGGAACCACTGACAATCAGTTTTGGTTTTGCCAAAGTTGACGCTTTTGTTGTCAGTAATATTGAGTTCAACTATGACTTGTTGGTTGTTGAACAATGTTAGAATTCACCATTCTTACTATGTTTTCGTTAGAAACATGGCATCCTCTGGTGATCCGTGGGTGAGGGAGTACAATGAATCAGTCAAACTTGCCGATGATATAAGCAGCATGATTTCAGAAAGAAATTCATTGCCTTCAACAGGTCCGGAGGCTCAGCGACATGCCTCTACTATACGGAGGAAAATTACTATATTGGGAACTAGACTTGACAATTTACAGCCTTCAAAGTTTCCTGGGAAACCACTGTGAGTTTCTCTTTTATTTTAAATTTGAGCAAAACAAGCTTTTTCCCCCCTTGATCTGTTGATTGTAGCTGACAGAATGACCCTTGATCTTTTTTATTTTTTTATTTTTATTTTTTTTTATCTATATATAATTTATCATGGCTTGATGTTTATTGCAGGTTATATAAAGGAATATCTCCTTGTCTTAGTTTTTTTTAACTGAATTTTGTACTTGCTTTGTTTGGAGACAAATGACAAATGCATATGCCTACCTTATTTTATTCAGTTAACATATAAATATTAACTAGATTTGACTTGCAACATGTCTGTAAATCATGACATTATCTTATCTTTGGTATGCGTTAATTTTGTTTTCGAAATCTCCTGTTTAGGTCTTAGGCATTAGTTGTCAGTGTAGCTGATTTTGTTGGATTACCGTTGCACCTTTCCAGAGTGCTTGTTCTTCATCTTCTGTTACTTAGGTTGGCTCTCTGACATTGCTAAAATTTTGAATTTTTACAGCTTGAGTAGTTTTCTCTTTCATCTCTGTTGAAATGGCCTTGGGATACTTTACAAAACCATGGCCCAAGGATACCATTTAAGTCTTGATTATGGGTCATGATGACATAACTCTATTGTTGGAAGTTGTTTTGTTTCTGGAGCAGAAATCAAATTTAGTTAATTCAAATGATGGGCTTCGCTCTGGAAGAATGTTGCTTGAAACATTTTACTTTTTTTTTTTTTCTGACATGAATTCGTTCCTCTGGAAATTTGCAGGACGGATAAAGAAATGAATCGCCGCAAAGACATGGTTACTAATCTGAGGTCAAAAGTAAATCAGATGGCCAGTACATTGAATATGTCAAACTTTGCCAACAGGGACAGCTTGCTCGGTCCAGAAATTAAGCCCATTGATGCCATGACCAGAACTCAAGGTCTAGACAATTATGGTGTTGTTGGGCTTCAACGACAAATCATGAAAGGTAAGATATATTTGAGTTTGGCCAAATATAAGTTATATTCATGATATGTACATAGATTTGTTTATGATTTGTCTGATGCATTATCGTTGAACAGAACAAGACGAGGGACTGGAGAAATTGGAGGAAACTGTTGTGAGCACCAAACACATTGCTTTGGCTGTCAATGAAGAACTTGGCCTACATACAAGACTCATAGTATGCATTATATTTGGCTTTACATATATTCAGAGATGATCTTACCAATATATAAGCGCGCTGAAGTTACGATACCTTTTATCGACTAATACACGTGTCTTTTGTAGGATGATCTTGACGAACATGTGGACGTGACAAACTCCCGTTTACTGGTACTATTCCTTGTGAAATTTGGATGAAAGCCATGAGTGGATTTAACAGAAATATATAGTTAGTTTAAATGTTTTCCTGAGCGTACAGATTATGTCGTTGGATTCCATTTGAGCCACTGTCTGACTCTCTTATCTCTTTCATGTAAAACAGCGAGTGCAAAAGAGGCTTGCCATATTGAACAAGCGCACGAAGGGTGGTTGCTCCTGCTTGTGCCTGCTCTTGTCAGTTATTGGGATCGTTCTCCTGGTTTCCGTCATATACTTCTTGGTCAAATATTTGTAATGTTCGAAATGTTAAAATGGAAAATGAGAATGAGACTTTGTGTCATCAGTGTCCTCAAAATCAAAATTGGATGACTCCAAAAGTGTGAATTTGCTTTCAATTGTTACTTTAAGATGCAAATGGACTTGTCCACGTTTGTCAATGAGTCCGTATCTATCTATATATATGCTACTGCACCTGTGAAACCAATGAGAGATTACAATGTTGATGTAATGTTTCTTTTTCCTATCTAATGTAAATTGTTGCCTTGTCTTCCTCGTGACAGACTCGTGTTTTCTTGAGTTTAGTGCTGTTCTTGGAATGCATTTCCGCCTCAAGTGCGTTGTTGCAACTAGTTTGATGGTTTCGTTCATGCGTAATCCATTATATTTAAGAATTACTACCTGCTTAATAGTTTCAACTGCAACTGGCATTAGCTTACTCTCAGTTCATTTTGCCTTTCCACTTTTAATAGTTCACGTTGCTACATAATAATAATAGAAGAAATACAAACCAGCAGTTCAGCAACCTAAATCATTTGTCAAATCAACAAAACAATAAATTAATAACTTTGATAGACAGAGATAACCTGAACAATTTTTAATTTAGCTTTTAGAAGTACTACCTCCGTCCCCAAAAAAAATAATTTACATTGAGTTTTCAAATTTGTACTAAAAACAGTAGAAGACTCAAAACTTAATATAGACTAATCTACATTGAGTTTTCAAATTTGTACTAAAAACAGTACAAAACTCAAAACTTAATGTGGACTATTTTTGTGGGACTGAGGAGTAATCTGCAAACTGGAACTTGGAAGTTGATTACAAAATCCAATCATCACTCATTCATTTTGTTTTGAATTTTAATTTATTATAAGAAAAATGAAAAAAAAAAAAAAAGAGGACATCTTTTCTGGGAGAGACAACAAACTATATTAACTTAACAAGCCAATACGACGTCGTCCCTATAGTTTCTTTTATGGATATTTATATTCTGCTGCTCCTCCTCTTCTCTTTTATAAAACAGTCGCCGGTGAATCAGAATCACTCTGTAGCTTGGAAGTTGGGAATTGGGTGGATATTTCCTTATAGGACTGAGAATTGTCAACAATTAGCGAGTAAGTGTGTAAGTAATTCCCTACCAAAGGAGAAAAAAATGAGTGCAGTGCCCAAGGAAACCATTGACGTAATATCACAGAGTTTAGGAATTAGTAATTTATCCCCTGAAGTATTGCCTGCTCTCGCCGCCGATGTCGAGTACCGTGTTCGCGAAATCATGCAGGTAATTTTTATATTTTTTGAACTTCTACTTTCCTCCCATGATCAAATTAATTCCGGGTTTCGTGATGATTGTTGTGGTGACCACAGGAAGCTATTAAGTGCATGCGCCATTCTAGAAGAACTGTTTTGACTTCTGAAGATGTGGACAGTGCTCTCAGTTTACGAAACGTTGAGGTATCACGATGGAGTTTATTGTTTTTCTTTTCTTTGACAAAGATTGGGATTTGTATTTGAGGTTTGGTTGGGGTATGTAAATGTAATCCCAATCGTGAGCTGTAGAGGAGAAAAGGGTTTTGTTTTTTGTGTCTTTAAAGATCCGGATTGGTGTTAATTGGGTATTCTTCACCAGCCAATATATGGGTTTGCCTCAAGAAAATCGTTGCCGTTCAAACGAGCTGCCGGGCACCAGGATTTGTATTACATTGATGAAAAAGATGTTGAATTTAAAGACGTAAGTTCATTTTTAGTGATACTTCTTTCATTTGTTGGATTTTTTCTTTTTAGGTATAGTATGTTTTTGTTGGTTTTGATTCTGGTTTCTGCTTGCCTGATGTGGTATTTAGGTGATTGAAGCTCCTTTACCAAAAGCACCATTAGAAAGTGCTGTTGTGGCTCATTGGTTAGCAATTGAAGGCGTGCAACCTGCAATTCCAGAAAATGCTCCTCCTGAAGGTGCCCGATTTTCATTTATTTGCTTCCTTAACCATTGCTTGGTGGCATGGATAACGGTTCTAATGAGTTTATGTATCGTGGCATGAATTCTTTGCGAGTAGTGCAATCTGACAGTAGAAAGGCCGAGTACAAGGAAGAGGGTGTATCTGCCGACATTAAGTTGTCTGTCAAGCATGTACTGTCTCGTGAACTCCAGGTATCATCCATTGTGTCAGCTGTTTCGTTTTGTCGTGAAACTAAAACAGTTTCCTGACTGTTGTCGTTTGTGATGTTGCAGCTTTACTTTGAGAAAGTCACAGAACTCACTGTTAGCAGATCAAGTTCCATTCTTTTTAAAGAAGCTCTAGTGAGCTTGGCCACTGACTCGGGACTTCATCCATTAGTTCCTTATTTTACATATTTTATTGCTGACGAGGTAGTTTGTGCTCATTTACGGCCAGTTCATCTTACACTATTGCAGCATTTTGAGACAAATATCATATTTTCTGTTCTAGGTATCCAGGAATTTAAATAATTTTCACCAGCTAATGGCATTAATGCGGTTGGTGTGGAGCCTTCTGCAGAATCCTCATATACATATTGAACCTTATGTGAGTTGATTTTATCAATGTATTTTTGCATATTGGTCAACAATGTGAATTTTTGATAGCGTGAGTGCGTGTTTCCTTCTATCCATCTTATGGTCTACTATTAATGAATGGTTTTCAACATTTTTTATGGTTTTCAGCTGCACCAGTTGATGCCATCTGTGATGACATGTCTGGTGGCGAAAAAGCTTGGGAATAAGTTTCCAGATGATCACTGGGTGCTGCGGAATTTCACTGCTAATCTGGTTGCCTTGATATGCAAAAGGTGAGTGCCCTCTTTATTCTAGAACCTTTCCGTAGTACTTACATTATGACCAGGAAAATGAGACCCAAGAGGAGTTATCTATCTCTTATTGAATTGTGCTTCTTAAAATGAGAGTTGCCAAATCTAGTTCTAACACTTGCCAGTATCTTTGGAGTAATAGAACTGTTGTAAGGGTGACGTGATTTCATTCCAACTTCCTGGTTAAGTGCTTTCGTAATGTATTTGGGAGTGAAGCATTTATGTGTGTACATGTAACTTCCCTCAATGTTTTTAGTTAAGTCCTCGTTCCTGTAAATTGTGCTCGGTGGATTGGTAACCCCCGAAAGATCTTCCAGGGACCCAGATTTCTTTCACTGATTTGCTTATCAGGAATATTTATAAGTATTCCTTTAATTCTTGAAAGAAAACTCATGCAGATACGGTCATGTCTACCAAAATCTCCAGTCTCGTGTCACAAGAACTTTGGTTCATGCTTTCCTAGACCCTACAAAAGCATTACCTCAACATTTTGGTGCTATTCAGGGGTTAGCAGCCCTGGGACCTAATGTGGTATGTTAGTGTTTCTTGTTCTTTATTTCTCAAATTTTTGCCATAATTCTGTTGTTGACTGTGCTTTGTGTGGTTAGGTCCGGTTGCTTGTTTTACCTAATCTCGAGCCATATTTACGGCTTTTAGAACCAGAAATGCAACTAGAGAAACAAAAGAATGGAATGAAGAGGCTGGAAGCTTGGCAGGTCTATGGAGCTTTAATTGTAGGTTTTTCATCGATCCAATTTACTTTACTAGCAAGATGTTCTTTTTTAAATTGAGGCGAACTCCATGTCGCGTGCATGTTTAAGTTATGTTTTTTACCTTTTATTGCTCAACTCACCCGGCTTTAAACTTAATAGCGCGCAGTTGGGTTATGCATGTATGGTAGGCTTAAGGTGCTTCCAACTCTACATTTGATGGCACCAAGAAACATGTTGAAGAACAACAAGAAAGTTGTAATTGCTGCATCAAGTAAGAATAGATCTATGTCCCTGTCAGATCTGTTTCCATTTTCTGTTTTCTTTTTAAGATGAAGTTGGACAAAGTCTGTTTTGTTTTTAAGATCAACCACAAGTCTACCCAGGGTTATTAAAATGTTTAAGAATGATCTGTTAGCTTTCTCAGTTATCAGGTCCATGACCATGATGGTTCTCATTTTTAACTTTCCATCAGCTAAAAGGAAAGCAAGCATGGACAACTTGATGCAACAGCCGCCACTTAAGAAATTGACAACCCACGGTTCAATGGGAGCTCTGACTGCCAATTCAATGTCAGGGGACATGCTAGGCATGAGTGGTAGATACCCCACAAACCTTGGGGCTGGTGATACTGGTTTCTCATCTATGCCTCGATCTTTCTCAAATGAAAATGTATTAGGAAACAGTGGAAGAAGGGATCTTCTTCCAAGTCAGGGTAATAATAATAGAACATCAATTGTTCTTCATCAGGCATGGAAGGAAGAAGTGGACACTGGAAAATTGTTTCCTTTGTTTTACGAATATTTCGGTGAAAGCATGTTGGCTTTTGTACCCACACCTGAATTATCCATGTTCCTATGACTAGTTGTGGGAGGGTAAATATACCGGTTTTGCCAGAAGACAAGAACTTTGTTAGACTGGCGCTCTTGGAGACATCATGGCAGCTTATAGTTCTGTTTCTCCCTTTCATAGAGGGTATAGTCTTTATTTGTGATCATTTTTCTCTATGGCAGCTCTTCTTTTCAAAGGACTGTAATACACGATTGTAATTATTGACAACGTAGAATTCTGTTGATTCTATATATGCATATTATTTTGCAACTCCTTAAAGTACTCGGTTCTCAGGAATTGATTGTTTTTGTTTTTCATTATTATTACTCTTTCTTTGTGCGTGCTGTTTCATCTACATATAGCTAATTCACATGGCGGGATAATGACTAAATTGCTATTATATTCTTTATTCTTCGTTTTGTTTTTATAATTAACACGCATTTTTTGCGGGGTTTTGAGGCAAAAGAATTGCATTTCTCGTGAAAATATTATGATGAAGGCTCTGGTACAACCATTTTCCTCCTAAATCGAAGAACCAAACTGCAAAGGAAAATATGTGCGGAAGTAAGAAGACATAAAGCTTCCAGGAACTAGGAGGACTTGGGCCACCATGGCCTGGGAGTTGAATTAGGAGAGGAAGATGACTTCAAAGCGACCGGCAATTTGAGGCTTTCTTGAGCTCCAGCGTTCCCCTTCTCCGTTAGCTTTGATCCCCTAGGATCGGTCAGAACGTTCTTCTGAAATGATTGAGTGAAGCCGGTAGCAATTATTGTTACATGGATCTCTCCATTGTAGCGTTCATCAACAACAGCGCCAAATATGATGTTGGCTGATGGATCTGCCAGACTCGTCACCACCTGGGAAAAAAAAAACCACAAATGGAAGAAAGGTAGGTAAGTCATTGCTATTGAAATTCATGGGAAGAAAGACAGCAGAAGAGAATAAATCCATTCGATATGCTCATGTCTACCAGATTAAAATAATAGTAAATTGTAATTCGGGACCTGGGGAAAATGTAATGAATAGCACCTAGTAGCTCATTCTTAAGAAAAAGGGAGAGGATAATTTTCAGTACCTGAGACACCCTATTTACTTCTTGTAATGTTATGTCTTTTCCCCCAGTAATGTTATAGACCACGCCAGTTGCAGACTGAATAGATGCACCGATCAAAGGAGCCAGAGTTGCTTGTTCAGCTGCTTCCTCGGCTCGGTTCTTGCTGGAAGAAACCCCCACTCCAAGCATAGCAGTTCCAGAATCCTTCATGACCGCCTTTACATCAGCAAAATCCACGTTGACGAGCCCTGGTATCTGCAGAATAAGGACCACCTCTATAATTCTATGGAAGGTATGAAATGTGCAGTAAACATTCTGTGAGAGTAAACGAAAACGGTAAACCACCACAAAATTTCAGACAGCAGAGATATGGTTCCTATTATAAGGACAAAAAGATGCCTCAAAGGGTTCTTATTTTACGGACAACAAAGATGGCTTAAATCATCCTTAGTTTATCCACACAGGCTGGACAAATGATGATTTCCATCAACCTTATTTTGAAATTTGTCCTAATCTATTTGCAGGAAAAACTGGTGATTGAAAGTCCTTATTTCATATTGACATAACTATTCTCAGGAGGTTTGCAAATCCTCGTCACTACCCGAGGCATAGTAGATACGAGCACTCTCACAACATGCCGTTTCATATGGTTAACTGAAAAGATATGTAAAAAGCTGCCGAAAAAGACATGGCAATTCTAACAGCGTTCTCAAGAGGAACTGATAGTCCCCACACAAGCACTCACTGTGATTATATCTGATATTCCCTGGACACCCTGACGCAGGACATCGTCGGCTATGAGGAAAGCATCTTGAAGTGGAGTCTGTTCACCAGCAATATCCAACAGCCGGTCATTTGGAATCACTATAAGAGTGTCAACATTTTTCTGAAGTTTCTCAATAGCTTCCATAGCCTGGAAAAAGATTTATAGGCCAAAATTGTCATATAAAAAGTAGAGTAGCAAAACTTCTTCAGGAATCTAGAAAATTTACATGAAGCTCAACTCCGCAGCATGCATGATTGGTGCAGCAGATCAATTCGAAATAAGGTGTTTCTAGTTTCTTGCCATTAGTTTTAGCATAATTGATAAATAAAAAATGATGATAACAAATAACTGGATTTGAAATACTACTATATGCTGTGACTCTTTAAATATCTAAACTGGCTTAAATAAGAACAATGAGAGAGACCATGAAATGGTCAACATTCAACAAAATGTAGGTCACTATGTCAAACTTGCACTTAATAAATCCAGGTTTCAAATATAACAACAGAAGCTACAAGTCAGAGGCTAAATTTTAATCAGCCATTCCAAAAGTTCGTAATACTCTCTTAACTGCAACATTTTTTGGGTGTATATGCCTCCATCTCAGTAATGCAGCTACATTGCTAACAAATGCATTCAGTCTAACTGTTGTACACAAGAAGCATGCAACCTTGTGAAATGACATCCTTTCCAAATTCTACAATATTGAAACTTCTGAAATTTAAATATGACAACCATATCACTTGATTTATATTACAAACAAAAATAAAACACCTGCCTGCTGAGTTCTTTTACGTCCTTCAAAGCTGAAAGGGAAGGTCACGACACCAACAGTCAAGTAACCTGCTTCCTTTGAAATTTGAGCAACAACAGGTGCAGCACCAGACCCAGTACCTCCACCCATTCCTGCGGTTACAAATACCATGTCGGATCCTTTAAGAGCATTGGCTATAGACTCCTTTGATTCCTCTGCTGCTTGCTCCCCAAGAAGAGGATTTCCGCCAGTCCCTAAATTTGCACAAGTTGTTGGGTATTAGAATTTTACCAATCAAAAATAGTGGAGCAAGCATTTACTGACACCACACAGAAAGGACAACTAACAGCAACTCCATGCAACACCGATTCTCCTCCCCGACTCATCATACAAACATATCAGAATTGTGATTCTACTGAAATGCACAAAGAGACGAAACCACATGCATAGACACTTGTATGTATGCAATCATGCTTTAAGTCTGTTGTCTAATAAGATAGGTATCTATACCAAGACCCCGTGTTAAAAGCTCTCCAATTTGAATTGGGTACCCGGCAGCAGATTGCAGCAGTGCTTGAGCATCTGTATTTATGGCGTAGAAGTCAACACCCTGTAAGCACAAAACAACAGAAAGCTTGTCAAGCAACAGTTTGGATGAGTGAACAAATTCTCACAAGAGTAGCAAACAGTCAAGGGACTTAATATCTAAAGAAACTACCATAACTACAAATAGGAGGTTATTAAAATACAAAATGACACTGCTGCATACATAATTTTGACCATGAAGATTATAACTAAACAAATGTAAATTAACCAAATACAAATGCCGCTCACTGGAAACATGGTAACAAATGAAAATGAAGCAATAATTGTACCCAGCATCGAAGTCTCAAGCTTTACAAATTCGCTTAAATGGTCGATTAAAGTTGGCAGATGAACAACTACAAGACAGTTAAAAGGGTTGACCGCCAAAGAGTTGGAAAAAGTGAATATTTTTCAAACTCTCAGCATCAAAATTCCACAATGACATTTGGAATTCAGAACGAAATTGTGATTTCGAAGAATGAATTGAAAAAAACCCATGAATGAATTATCAACTGAAACAGGTTGAACAGTAATTGAGACTTCGAAGAATTATCAACGGCGACAAATAAATTAAAGTGGAAAAACACTGCCGACCCATGAAAGAGCAAGAGAAACCCACCTGCAAACCGCTGCCAATCATGCGGTTAACAGCATTATTGCCACCGCCACCAACGCCGACGACCTTAATCTTGGCGGAATCCATAGGGGAAAAAGAGCTGCATATGTTCAAACCGTGGGACTTGGAGAGGCATCTCCGGCGAGCCCTGGGAGAAATGCACACTTTAGAGACAAATGGGGAGAGGGTTTTGTGATACAGTCCAACGGAAGTGGAAGAAGACGAGGCTAACTCCGCTGGGGTTGTCGTCAGTCCAAGGGCTACCATTTTTACTAGTCTTAGCTCTCCGCTAGTAGGATACAAAAATTTTGCAATCGAGAATTTACCAATGTATTGGAAAGATTTGTTCAGAAAATGAAAAAGGAGGAAACAAGGATTTTAGGGTTTTACAATTACAAAAATCTCCTCTTCTTCTTTTTCTTTTTCTCTAGTACTATCTCCTGTCCCAAAAAAAAAATAGTGCACATTGAATTTTTAAATTTGTACTAAAAATAGTACAAAACTCAAAATTTAATGTGGACTATTTTTGTGAAACGGAGGGAGTACTATCTATTATGTAGTTAGTATTCTTTTGCCATTTGGCTTCATTCTAATCATAATTACATGAGTACTTTTGCTTTAGTTTACTTTGAGTTTGTCTATATTATCTCCTAGTAATTTTGTAAGGGAAGGAAAACAAAAAGAGCTCACTTCACTTTTTGGAAAACACTAAAATACAACGATACCAACAATATCTGCACAAAGAGGTTTGTCCTGGCTATTCTCGTTCCGGCTTAAGTGAGGGCTCCCAGTTGGCTTAAGTTTGGTTGGTGGTCAGTGGTCACTCTCACTGGGTCAGGAGATTTCATGTGTTACTTTTATCAAACCCAAGTGCACATTTGCCACTCGATTGGGTAAAGTTCGTTCAAATATTTGCATTCAAATGACTGAAATATTTCTATGCACATTCTTGTTCGATTGGTAAAATATCAAACACGTTTACTCCGTAATGAACTAATACGAGCAACATGTGACCAATCCAAGAGAGAAGAAATTGAGATTCTCAAAACACAAACTGAAATGTAGTCTGTGTTGTTATTTATAGACTGAAACCTTACAACATGGGATAAACATAGTTGTGAATTTAATGGCTTCAATGCCTCTCTGTGTCAAGTTCACGGACACAGGACAGATGAGATGCCAACTACATTTTCCCAGACTATCGTGTCCTCCATGATACATGTTGAAACCTCCCATTCTTATGAACTGTGAATCTCATTTAATAGAAATGAAAGTTGAGCCACAACTGGAATGAATATATAAAGTTCTCTCCGCAAACGAAAAAATAAAAATTAAAAAAAAATAGATACAAATCTGATACAGGAAAGACAGCAAAAGATATGAACCCTTTTTTAACTCATCCCACCATCCAATAGGCTGATATGCAAGAGATTTTGGACAGGCCTTGTAGATGAGCAGCTTATTCTTCGCTCAGGACAGGAACAATAAGTGGTTTCATTTGTGCTATATAAACGATAGCCCACCTACACAAACGATTACACGGCAATATACATGTGAGGGACTGAGGGAAACTCAAATATAATGAAGCCTGATTTAACATGACCACATCAGCGAGGAGAATACAGATACAAAGGGGGGGGGAGGGGCAGCATAGGTAAACAACCTTGTGCACAGAAAAAGAGCATACAGTCTCACTAGCAAGATTACCCAAAAGCATAATAAAATGTAAGAATACGTGACACCAGAAACTCAAGCAAGCTGAAAATATGAACTTACATCATCCAACAGCAGACTGTTGCAGTAATAATCAACGTCAGGTGCAACCTGAAACACATAAACAGTAATTAAGAATGCAAAAAGAATGCTCCACTACATTAAAGGAAACTATGAGTAACAATATGGCGAATAATAGATTTCAACGCAGTTGCAAAGGGGTGCGGTACAGTCAGGACACACTTTTTCCATATAAATAAAACTTATATCTCGATATATATGCACCTCCATAGCCACTTTTGAGAACTTAAAGCTACCACAAAGTAGCTGACACTGATGGCCATTTCACCAAAAACATCCCGACACTGATGGAGAACATAAACCGACTAAGGATGTTTGTCGAACCAACGCACAGGAAATCAACATCCACTTCCCCCAATTTTCTACTTGGAAGTCTGCCCATTTCACTAAAGCTATGCTCTAACTTTGTCGAATTGAACAGGCCCATTGAATTAAATACTAGTAAGGAAATTTACCAAAGGAACATAAGATAAATGTAATCTAAGCTCCGCATATATGTAATCTAAGCCCCGCTTAAGTATCAGTAAGTAATGAAGTTATAAATTTATTATGGCAAACAAAAATCTATGCTGAAAGAGCCAATTCAGTACTCTCGGGTGCCAATAGCAAGCCAACAATTATAGAATTTTAGTGGAAAACCTAAAAACCGGTGAGAAATTATTTACTGATATGCTATCAAAAAGTGAAGCTTTCACAATTAGCAGATGAACACAGAAGTTTGTCACATTTGAAGGCATCAACAATTGACAACACTTAAGAGCTGATAGTCATTAAAATAAAGGGTGTTCCAAGCTTTAGCGCTTTCCTGCCATTTGCTCAAAGACAATCCATCAGTCGGAGAATGAAAATCAAACGATAGAATAATCCTTCTTATACGGAAAGAACTACAAAGAGCAGCATAAAGTGACATTTTATAAATGCAGTCAACAAGCACAAAGAAGTCACAAAATTTCAAGAATTGTAACCGAAAGAACTAGAACTAAACAGTGACAAGAGAAAAGAACATACAGATTGGCTGAGGGCCCTCTGTTACAGCAAATTCTGGTAAGCAGAGATGCAATAACTCCGATCACAACAAAAATTAGGGTTGTCACGAAAAACCCCATCGCTGCCCAAAGTTTCACAATCTGGCTAGTGGGATTCCGCAATAGCGATGTCGACCTTCAAAATCAATACAAGCAGAGATGAATTAAAAACTCATACATACAATCATAAAGGCGCGATGTAGGAGTAAATCTTCCGATCATTAATGCGAAAACTCTAGATAGAGAGAGAGAGTGGAGCGGGAGGATACCTTGATCTCCGGCGACCGGGAACGCTTCCGGAGTGGAGGAAAAGCTGAAGGAGCTGGATCGATGGGGAGCCGGATTACCTTGGATCAAAGATCAGAGCAGCAAATATGTTACAAAATTGAGATCGTTCGCAGCAATTGATTCAAACCACGACGACAGAGGAGGGTACAGAACGTGATAGATTTTACTGGTTTTTATTTTTTTAATAAAATTATTATTATCCGGTCAGCCTATTAGGAAAATGGAAAGAAAAAAAAAAGAAAAAGAAAGTACAGTTGGGCTTAGCTAGTCCAGCTGATTACGAAGAGACCAGTCCATTGTGGACATGTGGGAATAAGGCCCAATAATGAAAAGGAAATAATCGCCAAAACATTTTACTTTTCTTCGGAAATTGACATGAATAGATGACACAAATGTTGTCATAGAACATATAAATTAAACTCCCTCTCTCCCAAAATATTCTACACTCTATTAAATTTTGAGAATTATATTAAAATAGAATAAATTTTAAAACTTGATATGAATTATTTTCTTGAAGCAGAGGGAATATTCATTTGAGAAGTCGTATAGAAATAAAAATAATTAATTATATTCCTTTCATCCCAAAATCATTATCTAGTTTAAATTTTCAGTTTTAGTACAACTTATACATTTTCAGTTTTACATTCTCTGAAAATAATGTCGAAACGGAGATAATATTACTACATTTATGCAACAGGTGAAATTTGATCTCTTTACCGTCAAGCCAAAGACGTGTAAGTCGTGATGCACAGTTATATGCCAAATACTCAACCTCAGTTAGATGTTAGTTGAAGTTATCTCGGGGGCTAAAAGACTAACAGAAACCAGTATCACACACTGATATTTAATTCATAGTCCTCCGGGGGCTAACAGCATGTATTTGCAGACCATTCAACAAATCGAACCATTGAGATGGAAACTAAAATAGGGGTGTATGAATAAGACATTTCCCATAGTAATCAATGCCTACAAAAACAAAAAGTACCAGGGGTATGTTACAGTTCCTTCTTAACATCTTTTACTACATTAAAAAATTAAAATGAAAGATGGGAACTAACCCCCAATGAATTCCTCAAATACTGTCATACAATTGAAATCTCTTTGAAAATTGTAACTAACTGGCCTGCTTTAGTTCACTCCAGACACTTCTTACTCCTCCCTCCCCTCTTGGTTTCTTGTTTTATCCTGGTAGGCAAAGTCGAATTCAATAAACAACTAGCTACGCATCAGAATCTGAAGCTGGGATCAACATCCATTGACCAAGCAAACTTTGCTAACAGCGACTTATTGAATATCTGTAGATAAAACATATCAGGCACCGAGTAAGTTTTTTGTCATGAAACTATAACACTAACAGTTACTTGTATCTAAAACCATACGCCTTCTTTTGATGGGGGGAAAAAAATGAAAGGTCAAACCTTTTCAATGGGAACCTCATGACGCTTGCACCATGCCACTGTTATTCTGGGATCAAGATAATTGATCTTTGAAGTACCCAGCGCCACGGTTTTCAAATCCTCCTTGGTCAACTTATCCCGTTCCATTTTTTCAATCTTAGCATTTGTTTGAGCTATTTTCTTCTCAAGCCTGAACGTAACAGTGACAATCAGTTATGCTAAACTCAGAAGAGCGAGTTTTAAGAGATGAGAACTATCCAACTCACGCTTCAGGGGCTAAATTTCTCTTCTGCTTCCCATCGGGGCTCTTTGTTGGCGGCTTCCCCTTTTTGGCTCGAGATAGATCAGTTTCCAATTCTTTCAAAACAGCCTAGACAGAGAATAAGGTCAGCATTTAAGTAGGAAACACATGGAAAACACAATGGCTGTAGCACTTCTCCTGTACTGAGGACAACCACCACATAAGTTAATTCATTCAACAACTTATAATTTGTCCAAGAACCAGGAGCAGAAAGAGAGTAATAATAAAAGAACGACAACAGTAAGAGGAACTCCACTTTTTCCGCAAGCACCTCATTCTTTCAAGTTCAGCTCAAAGTCAGTCGCCATAGATTTTCACTAACAAGCATAGCGCAGAGCCAAAACTTATACATGCACTCATAATACCTAAGATTGGAAGGCCAAGGCATTACCTTGAGTTCTTCAATCTTTTCATTCAACCGTGTCATTTGTGCACTATGGGATTTTGAGACCGTACGTTGATGATTACAAATAATTGCAACCTACATCACAACATTCAAGACATGAAATTACCACCAAAGAAGGTGAAGAGTCCATATAAAACCTCACTGTATAGAGGATGCCCACTCCACCCCACCCCCAAAAAAAATTTAAAATATATATATATATAATTATATAATAGTAATAAATCTCCCTTTCCATTTAAAATTTTTACCTCCTTGTTTGCATGTTGATATACCACAACCTTCTCCGCGACATCTCCACCCTTGGTTTCCCTACTCAACTGAAATATCATGCAAGCCATCATTAGCTTATTGAGTAGTGGATTCAAGTACTAATCAAGCAGAAAAGGCATCAAAACAGTACAAAGTAGAATGATGTCAATGCCAAAAGTAGTTCATGCATTACCATGTCGTCTAATGTTATAGATGCATTATATGTACGAAAAACTTTTGCCGTCAGACCAGGCATAAGTTCCTTCAAATGAGCATTCAATTTACTGGTGTCAAGCCGATCAAAAAGATCTTCACTACCCTCTTTACCTGCAAAGGAGAGTACAATAGATCAGAAAGCTTAACAAACATGAGGACATACAGACATATAGATATGGGGGCACTTCACGAACCACTCCGAAACTGTTGAATTGCCTTGAAAACAGGAGGTTCAACTTCAACCTCGTTTTGGTATCGAATGGAATCTTTACCAAGGAAGTCAAACTGTACAGAAAAGTAGAAAAAGTTATTCAAAAACATTTAGCACATAACATACAGAGAGGAAACCCATTGGTACAATACCTTTAAGGTATTTGGAGGTACGGGCTCTACATTTTCTACTTTCAGCGTGCAGCAACCAACTGTATCAGCTTCATCATCATCCTGCAGGAGAACAAAAGGGTCAAAAGAGCTTGTCTTATCACTTCATGCAACTTCCTTGCTCCAACAGAAGTACTCGAGGCTAAATCTTCAAATGAATACGAACATCAAATTTTTTTCAACTCTAAACCCAAATTCAATATCAGCGCTCCTCTAGGAACAATTAGACAATACGGATGACCAAGCTAATATGTTCAATCTCCCAGATTTCAATAAGGCATGAAGCTTTATGGCAATGATACCTTCTCATTGCCTGCCCTGAGTGCTAGTTTATCAATCAGATACGTAGCAACTGCTATTTGCTTCTTCATGGCATCTTTATTAGTAAAATCCTTAGTATAAGCAGCTCTGATGCGATGTATATGTTCCTGCATCAGCGATGAAAATTAGCCTTCATCATTGCATCCACTGAACTTCAGAACAACATATAAATTCCGATAATTTACCTTTAACTTTCTCGCTTTTTCATATTTCTCCTTGTCACTTTGCCCCTTTAAGGTACTGCTGGCAGCTAGAAACACGTACTTGAATTCTTTTTGATTTATTGGATCGTTCCAAAATGCTAGCCACGTCACTGTATTGTCGTGTCTTATTTCTTTCCATCTGCCAAAGGTAAAGAGTTAAAAGTTTCAAGAATGGACTCTCAATGAACTTTATGATGATGAAGCAAAGAAGAACATAAGCAAGATTAAGATGTGAACCTTTCGCCAGGGATGGGACATTCAGGGATTGGAGCATCCCTCCCAATATTAATAGTTATGTCCTTTGGATGGATGCGCTTTTTCAATTTCCCCATCTGAGCCGAGCAAACCAGCAATTTGCGGGAATTCCACCATAAAACATGTTAAAACATTAATTGCATAGTAAAGCATACTGCTTCGAATGACATTTGGGGGTTGGAGGTGGAGGAGACAAGAAGAAACCAAATTTAAATTCTGGAACCAGAAAAAGTTAATACACCTTGGGATGCTCTCCCCGTCCTCGAAACAACCCAGGGGGTTCCACCCGAAAGTTCCCTACCTGCAAATCATAAGTCAGTTAGATTAAACAAGTGAAAAGAAATGAAATACACAGACAGTGGATCACATCATGACCTTCTCCTTGACACCATCAACAATTGCCCACATGTATTTCTCCTCTTGCTTCAGTTTTTCTTCTCTTAAAGCCTTTTTTTCCTGCAAATTGACCACCATTAATATCGTGAAACAAGTCAACAAAACAAATTCACAAGATATGCATGGCTAAAGCATCTTGTTCCAAGAGAAACAAAACAAAACGGATACAAATTTCAAAGCACGTCATATTCCACCAGAACGTGAAGATACTGATTCTCTTTATCGGATATAAATAAGTTTCTTAGGATTCAATGCATACGTCATATTCTCAGGCAGGTATGTCCAAAAAAAAAACCCAGGCGAACATTCTACCTTCCTTTCCTTAAATTTTACAGCAAATGAAATACATCATCATAAGAAATACCATCTACATAGCTGGTCAAGCTATACCAAGTTCCACAAACACAATCAGCTGGTAAGGGACAAACTTTGAGAAATATGGTAACAGTAAGAGTAACATTGCCGAAAGTGTTTACTCATGCCTCATTCCAAACTTAAATTTCGCATTTAGATCTATATATGAAAAAACATAGTCCAAGAGAATTCACGACAATAAAATCACAACTTAACTCACCTCTGTAGTCATTTGTTTCTTTTTCTCCTTTTCTTTCTGATGCCACTCATATATAGGACCGAAATCGCAGTCTTCCAGATTTTGAATTACATGGTTTTTTCCAAGAATCTTTTTCCAGTCACTGAAAAAGTTCTCCTTGAAACGAGGTTTACTCATGTACTCAGTATCTAACATCACAGCAAACATTGTTGCAACCTGCCAGCGGAAGTTGAAAAGGAAATTAGTATTAGGCAATATACTATCCAGCAGCACATTGTTTTTATGGGACAGCGAACACAAGCAAATGCTGCTAGAAAAATGTGCAAGGGAGAGAGAGAGAGAGAGAGAGAGAGACCAAGAGGTACAGACCTCTTCTTGTTCAGGGGTCAGGGTGACAGGCTGCCCCTTGTAAAGCATTTTAACCCCATGAGGCTGGTAAGGAGGGGGAAATATCACACCATTGTGGACCAAAGTAGTCCACTTTTGACCTTCACCAGAGCTAGGAGGCACTTTAGAGGACTTAGAGTAAGATGTTTTTTTCATCATCTTCTTAGACTTCTTATTTACTTTTTGCAGAGAAGATGATACGACCTTTTTTACAGCTGCCGACTGTTTACTACCAGAAGCTGCAGATGGCTTCTTAGTTCTTTGGATCAGAGGAACATGTTCATCGTCCTCATCCTTCGGTTTCACACTTGTACCTTGTGCCTTCGGCCTTTGAGATAAAGGAACATCATCGTCCTCATCCTCAACCTTCGGTTCCGCTTTTATACTTGGCTTTTTGCTTATTGAAGTGGTTGGATTTGAAAGCTTCGGTTTCTTTACTGAAGACTGATTTGCAGATTTCACTTCACCTGGAGGTCTTTTATTCGACAACGAGGATGGCTTATTCGCTGAACCAACCCTCAAAGCAGAGCCATTTTCTTGAACTTTTGATGAGCTAGTAGATCCTCCTAAACTAGACTTCAATGGACGCCGGTGAGACAGAGGTTTTTCATCTTCTGAATCATCACTTTCATGGACAACTGGCTTTTGAACTGGACTGGAATCGTTAATCTTCTTATTTGCCTGATTAGGAGCTCCCTTAGATGTGCCACCCAAATACCTAGTGCTCAATGGTTTCTCATCATCAGATTCCTTGGCATTACTATTATTAGCATCAGGAGCTGAAGGCTTTGACGGCTTAGCAACAATGGGAGATCTTTCGTGGTTGTGGGGTTTTCTTGTATCAGTCGCTGAAGAGGATGTCTTCGAACTCGTTCCAGGAGTCGTAATTGGTGATGCCTTGCCTGAAGGATTCGATGCTTTTGGACTGGTCAGTGGTGATTTAACTGGTGGAGTCCTGACAGAGGACCCAGGTTTACCCTTCTCTGCTCGGGAGCTTTCCCCGTTTTCTGGCCGTGTATCAGAATTATGCTTCTGAGAAGACGGTTTCTTCTTCTCTGGGTTTTGCTTTGATGCTGAGCTACTACTTCTTTTAAAAACCATGGGCGCCTCATCATCATCATCCATATCATCCATCAGATTAGGAGTAGCACAGGCCTCAACAGCCATTATTCACAATGGGGTTACCTTGTCATGCAATGCCTCTCTACACAAGTACAAATCACAAACTACTATTTCAACCGTTACAAATCAAATTAACAGCAAAACCGAAAAGCTGGACATGCCAGAATGCATATGCACCGTATGTAGTGGTATAATGGAAAGAACAGAATAAAGTCCTAACCCTAAACAAAAAATTCAATCAGCATTTATCACATTGCTAGGTGTATATCTATCAACCCATCCCAGCAGTCATACAGCAGTTGCATGGCATGTTACCCAGCATTCTTTAACAACTTCTGTGGTTTGCTGTTAAACAAGAAAACATATATAATGCAACAGAGAAAGAGCTCAGCTTTTCCACAAATGATTCAACAAGTTTGAATTCCCCCCACAACAAAGATGAAAACTTTAAACTATATAGTATGTACCTAATCAGAGGGGGCGTTAAAGAGCATCCCAAAGCTTATACAGCCAAATTAGTCCCAATTGTTTCCTAATAATCAAAACCCTAAATTTCAATTAGAAGGTTCTTACGGCAAGACAAAGCTAATACGCAATAAAACGCTTCTTAGATGCCCCTAAACACACAAGTAGGCAATCAATAATTCCTAAGAAAATGAACAAGATGCCACAAAGCGAAAAAATAGAGAGAAACGGCGCTTACCGAAGGAGGGAAAAATTGGAGAGCAAGCCGATGAAGAATCTGATCTAAGTTTCCGAGGGTACTTAGCGTAATAATGGGGGCGAAAAAAAAAGGAAGTATAGAGCCCAGCGGAAAAAAAAAGAGCTCCAGAAATTCAATAAAAAAAAAAAAAAATTTCTATGTAATACACACTTATCAAATAGCTGCAATTCTATAATTCTTTTTTTTTTAATTCTTATTTTCCTTAGGCAGAGGCGGGGAAACTTGACGGTGGTGGTGGTGGCGGTGGCGGTGGCGGTGGCGGTGAGGTGCGGAATCTTGGCTAAAAATTCTCGCTCACTTCTATATCCCTTCTTTTTCTTGTTTGTTTCAGTGTGTGAGTGCGTGAGAGAGAAAGATAACGCCTTCGCCTCCCTCCTACACAGACCCAAGTCCAATTTTCAACCCAAACCCTCTGAGGGCTCAGACCACGGACACGGGCCACCGCACCAGAACCTTGCTTGTGGTTGTGGAAATGGGACGCCGGTTCGGAGAAAAAAAACCAACTAAACTAGACCAAACTCGGACCTTCCTCCTCTGGGTAGGGTTATTTATGTAATCACACTGACTCCTGGATCGAGTTAAAAAAAGAAAGTGGTTTCCCGGTTCCGCCACCCAAGCAGTTTTTATTTTCTTTTCATTTTATTTTGAGATTGTAGTTTGAACTTGCTATTGGGTCGTGGGTACAGTTATTTTCTGGGCTTAAATGATGGGCCCGACTTCCCTTAACTCCCTCGCCAATTAGCTTTGGACCCAATCTTACTGGTCCAGGTTAGATTTTGAGAGTCCCTGTAATAGTATAATACTCTCATTATTTTCACTTTCAATAAAATTTGCACTAAAAATAAAAATTTAAAATATAAGATATTTTGACTAGGTGAACAAATAGAATAAATTATGATCATTGGATAAAAAAGTAAATTTATTATGAATATCAAATCATAAAAGAATGAAATTTTCCCAGCAAAAAGAGAGAGAGAGAGAGAGAGATAGCCTCCAATAATATTTTTATTAAGTTCTTCATTAAAGTTTATTTATCATCTTGATTATTATTTTTTTTATATGATGCCTAATAGTCTAAAGTATTACAGAATTTTATTTATCATGTTGTAACCAGGACTTCGAATTCATCATGTAACTATATCATCTTGAGTTTATTATGACAAGCTTTGCAAATTTTTTACCACAAAATGTGTATTCGAACCTTTTTGTTTGAAGTTTTAGGTTAAGAAGTGACTTAGTGTAAAGGGGTTGTTAAGTATTTTTTCTTTCTTATTTTCATAGTGTAAGGTGTCCACCGTTGACAATAGTAATTAATTTTTTCACTCATAACCTCGATGAATAAGACTTAAGAGAGTTGGTAAAAAGATTTAAACTTATTCTATACCTATGGCGAGATTTAAATCCTTGACTTATAATTAAAGGTGAAGAAATTTTTACCATTCCACACAACCTCTTTCGATAGTTTGTTAAGTTTTTGAACTCGAACACAAACTCAAACTCAACATCACATGCAATTAATCTGATTTTTCTTTACATTTAATTAAACTGAGTTTGCCAATAAGGGATTGCCCAAGTGGTAGTGGGCATGGCATTAAAACCTTGAGATCCCATGAGGTCTCAGGTTCAAACCCCGCCAGGAGCACTTTAAGTGCTACCTATACAGTCCAAAAGAGCGTCTACCAAAGGCGTGCACGCGTTGAGTCTCTCCCTAGTAGTAGTATAATAGTATCCCCTTCACTCAGTAGACTCTACAAATATAATAACATAGGATACCTATAATGGTATAAATATATATATATATATATATAATAATTAAACTGAGTTTACACATTTATAAATATCGTTTTATTTTTTTAGGAGTAACCGCTCAATTATGCCGTTTAAAAACCAAGTAGGCCAAAAGTTCAATTAGAGGTTTTTTTTTCCTTTTTTTTTTTTTTGTCACCGTTTTCTCAGTCGAAGTCAAAACTACTCCAAAGTCTCCAATCATCATTATCGCTGGGCTCGTTTTCGTTTACTTGTCAAAATCAACGTACGAGAAATTTCTCACCATCTTCTTAGTAAAGATGATCCCTTAGTATGAAATTGTACGAGAAATTGCGACCAAATGTTCCTCCCCCAATTAATATTAATCATCATGTAATACTCTCTTGCTCGTATTATTCTATTTAATAAAGAAATAAATAAAAAGAAAGTTGCTCGAGCTAGTTCCGAAGTGGGAAAATATCACAATCATGTGAGCTAAATGGAGTACTTCCAAAGATTAATTATTGAAACCATATACTCCCTTCGTCCCATAATTATTGTCCATTTTGCCCAAAAAATTTTGTCCCAAAATTATTGTCCAATTTGACTTTTTATGGATCAAGTTACACATTTGTCCTTAGTAAAAAATATCCATAAAATCTTAGTGGTTAAACAATTACTTATGTAAGGGTATATCCGGTTGTTTTAGGTAAAATATAGTTAAGTTTGACTAAAAATAAAATCTTTCATTTTAGTAAAACTGAACAATAATTATGGGATGGAGGGAGTACATCCCACAAATATTTTAGACAATATAATATTGTAAGCTCTAGTTAAGATTTGAACCATGGTTATAGAAGTTATGTCGATTTAATTAGTAGTAATATTAATCCCTTCATTATTAATTTAATTTGTTTTTTTGTTGTTGCAAATTCGCAAATTTATCTTTTTTCTTTAGTAATGGACGTGAAGGCATTTTCTGCAGTATTCTCCGAGTCGTCTCCTTGCTAATGTATGTGAAAGGGTCTATCCGTCGAAAAATCCACCATAATATTCCTCTTCCAATGCATTACTAGTAAACATCTTCGCAAGCTGACTCGCGCAAGTTTCTCTTGTCGATAATCTCAACAGCTCATTTCAGTACTGAAAAGTCATCCGTCAATGAAGTACCCCCTTCTCCAAGGTCTATTAATTTGAATTTTTTATAAGGCTCCGTTTGGTTAGATATAACTGTAATTGAATTAGAATTAAAAAAAGAGTAAAATAAAAAAATATTTATTGAGATTACTATTAAATCCTAATTTATTTGTTTGGTAGATCTAAATTATTGATAAGGAATTAGATTACAATATCGATTCCTGTGTTTGGATGCGTGAGAATTTATGTATTAAGAATTATTTTGTTGTTGTCTATAACTAATACAATTTTTATTTTTATTTTTTTAAATACATTTTTTTTTAATTTGTTATACAATATTAATTTTCTAATTTATTATGTACATATATACTTATCATTTTTTATTATGTAAGAATTATTAATATGATATTTGAAATTCCCACTCAATACACTAACAACTAACTAATGAAAAAGTCTTTGTTCTCTCCCTTTTATTTTTAAATTTTCATTTTTAAAGTTTTAGAATTTTTTAAATATTTTTTAATGGGAAATCTTTATATTTAATATCAAAGTCAGTTTATGCATATTATTATACATTTAAATATAAATAAATTCAGTTAATTTCTATATGCCAGTAATTACTCATTTACAATGATATAACATAATAAAAATATTATAACCAAATTAATATATTATTTATTAATTTTTTCAATAAATTCTGAGTATACTAGTTGCATTTTATTTTTTTGGTAAAAAACAATGAAATTAATTTTAATGGATAGGTCTCGTTGATAATTATCATACTGGTATATATATATATATATATATATATATTATGTTCGTCAATATACAGTAGGAAATAAAAATATATGTTAGTCAGACAAAAAGTATTTTGTAAAAAGACCACTGCAATGCCCGCGCCTTCAAAGGAAAAAAAAAAAACAAGAAAAAAAGGCAGCGGGAAGGAAGAAAAAAGGAGGGAAATAAACCAATATTTAAAGTAGAGAAAAACGACTCATTTTGTTATAATCAGGAATTGACTCGGTTTTTTATTCAAGCATGATTCTAGTTATTAGTTCCACCAAAATAATTGAAATGATAGAATTGAGCCTCATTTCAGATTGTAATTCCAATTCGATACTTATATTTTTGTCTAACTAAACAAAAGAATTTATATTAGAACCTTCCAATTTCAATTCTATTGTAACCAAACGTAACCTAACAATTTGATTGAAAATATTGGGGTTGCTTAATCGCATTTGGTTCAGTATATTAGCTGTTCGGGTATTATATACTCCTTATAAATAAAGACGGAACAAAGTCAATGCCACTTTTACGCTACACGTATAAAAGCTTCATAAGTCGTGTAGATCATCATCATAGTTTTTGTGAGTTTTGAAAATTTGATCATTATACTAGAACATTTACATTCAATTTAATCATGTATAGAGTTGCAAGCGCCTCGGAATACTTGGTGATCACCGGAGCCGGAATCCGGGACATCAAGATCTCCAAGAAATCATGGGTTTTCCCGGGACAATCCTGCACCATTTTCGACATTTCCCCGGTCAACTACACCTTCCAAGTCCAGGCCATGAGCGCCGAGAAGCTCCCGTTCGTGCTCCCGGCCGTCTTCACCATCGGCCCGCGAGTCGACGACGAAGAAAGCTTGTTGAAATTCGCCAAGCTGATTTCTCCCCACGACAAGCTCTCCAACCACGTGAAGGAACTCGTCCAGGGGATCATTGAAGGAGAAACTCGGGTCCTCGCGGCATCCATGACGATGGAGGAGATTTTCAGAGGAACTAAGGAGTTTAAGAAAGAAGTGTTCGAGAAAGTTCAACTTGAATTGAACCAGTTCGGGCTTTTGATTTACAATGCCAATGTGAAACAGCTTGTGGACGTTCCGGGTCATGAGTACTTCTCGTACTTGGGTCAGAAGACCCAAATGGAAGCTCAAAATCAAGCTAAAGTTGATGTTGCCGAGGCTAAGATGAAGGGGGAGATCGGGGCGAAGCTTCGTGAAGGTCAAACACTTCAAAATGCAGCCAAGATTGATGCGGAAACTAAAGTGATTTCTACTCAGCGACAAGGAGAAGGGAAAAAGGAGGAAGTGAAAGTGAAGACTGAGGTGAAGATTTTTGAGAATCATAGAGAGGCTGAGGTGGCAGAGGCTAATGCTATATTGGCCAAGAAGAAAGCCGGTTGGTCTATGGAGGCTCAGGTGGCGGAGGTGGAGGCTGCTAAGGCCGTCAAGCTCCGAGAAGCCGAGTTGCAAAGGCAAGTCGAATCCATGAATGCTTTGACAAGGACTGAGAAGCTTAAGGCTGAGTTCTTGAGCAAAGCTAGTGTTGAATACGAGACCAAAGTAAGTATTTTGTTTGTGTATAATATTTTATTCGTCACAAAATGGTTGTTATGTATACATAACGTTCCATCTGTCACAAAATGATGTTAACATAAGTTTGAAAAAATGACTTTTGTATGATGATATCTTTGGAACAAAAAACTTCCCTTTACTTGAAGACATTTATAAAAGGTTTTTCCTTTGTCTTTGGCCTTAAACATTAGGTACAAGAAGCAAATTGGGAATTGTATCAGAGACAGAAGCAAGCAGAGGCTTACTTATATGAAAAGAGCAAACAAGCAGAGGCCGAGAAGGCCAGCGCGAGCGCGGCCTTATTTGCAAAACAACAGAAGATTGATGGAGAGTTATATGCAAAGGTAAAGGAAGCAGAAGGGCTCAAAGCAATGGCTGAAGCTCAGGGGATGTACTTGCGCACCCTTCTCGACTCCCTCGGTGGGAGTTACGGAGCTCTTAGGGATTACCTAATGATCAGTGGCGGAATGTTTCAAGATTTGGCCAAGATTAACGCTGATGCAATACAAGGATTGCAGCCTAAAATTAGCATTTGGACTAATGGCGGTGGTGATGGAGCCATTGGCAGCAATAACAGTATTGTTGCTGGTGGTGCAATGAAGGAAGTTGCACAAGTTTACAAGATGTTACCCCCATTGTTGAGCACTGTGCATGAACAAACTGGAATGGTGCCTCCAGCTTGGATAGGCAGCATCAACAACACTGATTCCAAATGAAAATTCTTTCCCTGGTATTTGTTATTTTTTCTTTTTATACTTGCATTCCGGAATTTTCCCAATTGTGGGGATCGAATCATGTTTGTTTACTGGTTCTTTGGTCTTAATTAATGAGTTTGGTCAATGTATGTGTGTGGGAGAGATATGTGAGCACATTGTGTAAGCAGATTGTAAGACTCTTTTGTGTATGTTGCTTGTAAGATGTTCAATAAAAAGTCCATTGTGAGAATCCTGGAATATATGTAAAATGAATCAGTGCATATAATCACCTTAGAATCATAACACATAACTACTTAGCTGAGCAATTATATGACTAAAATATCCAAATGGTCCCTTATATTTGGGCTTACTTGATTTTATGTCTCTAACATTAACATTTCAATATCATAGTCCCAAATATTATGTTTTCACACTTTTTTTGTCCTATTTTACTGTTTCGACCACTTTTCCGTCCAACTCGATGTTGGCCGGCAGTTGACATGCCGGAATCAGGGGTATTTTTGTCTTTTCATATAATTTGAACTTCCATTAAAATATAAATCATAAAAATTATTATAAAAATTCACATTTATTATTTAACTGTTAAACTATTATTTATTAATTTAAAATTTTAAAATTTAATTATTTTTAAAGTTACTTTTTTATTTACTAAAGTAAATATTAATTATGTTACACTTTTAACCCAAACCCACTGTAACTTTAAAAATTTACTGAGTCACAGTAAATAATTTAAAATTTAAATTAAAAAAAAAAGCAAAACCAAGATTTTTTATTTTGACCGCTACAATAAATCTTGAGTTATTTCAAAAATTTTACCGTGCTATAATAGTTAATTAAAATTCAAACTTTGTTTTAAAAAAAATAAGAAGAAAATTGTGGGGTGAAATTCTGAATAAAAAATAATTTATTTAAGTTTTTGGCTTAATTATTGCTTTGGATTGAAGATATAATTTGAAATGTGGTTTTAGTGAAAATTCAAAAAGTTGTTGGGATAGAAATTCAAATAAAATAATATTATTTTTACACCACCACCTCCACACCTCCACCACCGCTGCCCACCGCCGGACCACATCCTGCCGCCGCCGGCCGGTTCCAACGAGATTCCGGACCCAACAATTTTTTGAATTTTCACTAAAATCACATTTTAAAATCTCCAATTCAAACTAAAAATTAAAATAAACCATTTTTTATCCGAATTTTTGCCTTCTCAATTTTCTTCCTTTGGGCCCGCTGGATTTTTTATGTCGGACCGAATAAAAAATTAGTAGGTGAAAATCTGGATAAAAAATTTAGTTTGCTTTTCCGTTTTAAATAAAAAATTGAATTTTGAATTAGTTATTGTAGCGCGGTAAAATTTTAGAGTGATACGGGGTTAAAATGAAACGTAATTAATATTTATTTTGTATCCAGCATAAATGATAAATAGAAAAGGTATTTTTAAAAAATAATGTAAAATTTAAATTTTATAATAATATTTTAAATTATTAAATAATATTTTAATAATTAAATAATTATATGTGAATTTTATAATATTTTTAATGATTTAAATTTCAATAAAAGTTCAAATTATATGAAAAGACAAAAATGCCCTTGATTACGGCATGCCAACTACCGGTCAACATCGAACTGGACGGAAAAGTGGCCGGAACAGTGAAATGAGATACTCCCTCCGTCCCATAATTATTGTCCAGTTTTACTAAAATGAAAGATTTTATTTTTAGTCAAACTTAACTATATTTTACCTTAAACAACCGGATATACCCCTACATAAGTAATAGTTTAACCACTAAGATTTTATGGATAATGTTTTTTACTAAGGACAAATGTGTAACTTGATCCATAAAAAGTCAAATTGGACAATAATTTTGGGACAAAATTTTTTTGGCAAAGTGGACAATAATTATGAGACGGAGAGAGTAAAAAAAATGTAAAAATATAATGTTTGGGACAAGATATTGAAATGTTAATGTTACAAACTTCCGAACAAACTCTCCAAAGCTTCCGATTATCAACATAACGTCAACTCGGCTCTTAATTAATGGCGGAAAGAACAGCCAAAAGCTAGTCCAAATCACAAACCCAACGGTCAACGGCGCCGATAGCAACTTCCACCGTCCATTTAAAGCTTTCTTCACGGCGAGCTCCAAAACAACACAGATCCCATGGAAAACAAAAAATGACGTTTGTTCCCAACTGGGCTTTGCCCGGGACGCGTAATAGAACAAGAGCTCGTGCATTAGGCCCGAAACCACAAACGTCACAAAAACAGCTGGTAATGTAGCAAACTCTTTGCCTAATAGCTTCTCCAATGCTGATCTGACCGGTTTATACACCGTTTCCCGGAGCGAATTCGCCGCCGCGAGGTTCCACCTCTTGCCCCAGAATTCTTGTAGAGATTTCGATGCGTAAGGTTCATCGGACGGCGGTTCAAGCTCCAAGCCCAGGAGACCATTGACTAACAAACTTGAGAGAGCCACAACGCATTCCACAAACAGGAAAGCCAAACAACAGTAGCCCACCAACAGGATTTTCGGGTGAATTTTTCCTTTAAAGTGAAGAAATGATCCGATTAGAATAGCAGCTGCTAATATCTTTGTCCCCAAATTATTAAAAATGGGTATGATTTTTCTGGGGGCAATTGGGAGGAAGATGGAGGATTTGAGTTGGGCTTTGTGCGGATGGGAAGAGCTGCAGATGCGATGAAAATGTGAAGGGATTGAGAGGATTTGGGGGGTGAAAGTGGGCCGTGACCAAAAGCAAAGAGGAGTAGTTTGAAGTTGGCAAGCCATGTGATGAATCATGTTAAGAGTAAAGGGAAGAAAACAGAGGGGAATGGGAGATACAGAGGAAGGATTGAAAAGAGGCAGAAGACTGGAGAAGCGAAATGAATCTGAAGAAACCTTTTGGTATTCTTGAAGAAATGAAGTAGCAATAACTGAGTGCTACAAATATAGTTGAATACACAGAGATATGCTTCTTCATCCCTTCATCCATTGGCTTGGATTGGTGGGAAGTTCTTTTCAAGAGACTCTTTCTTGTGGAATCAAAAGGCAGTTTAGCTTGACTGGATCTGAAAAATTGCGTACATAATTATCACCTCGAGAATTTTGTATAGGCTGTAGCACTCTTTCTCTAAAAAATGTTGGCTTACAGGCTTCACAGGTCAACACTGATAGTAAAGACTTATGGTTTACAATTATTGATTGATATATTACCATTAATTATTATTCAAGGAGCTTTGCTTTGAGAACGTTGGTCAATGGATGTATTCTTTCGAATTCAATCTGTATACTTGAAATTGAAATCGCTTCGCTGGTGGATTCTCAAAAAAGTTCAGAGAAGTCACAGGTTTATTATAATCCTTCCATTTCAAAATATAAATTACTATAGACTTTATATGTAAACTGATGAGACAATCATTAAATAATTAATTTATGTATTAAATGTTTGTTTTACCTCTTATTAATTATATTAAAATTATAAAGACTAAATAAAAATGAATTGATGTCATTTATTGACAGGTAAAATTAAAAAATAATTATTAATTTATCTTAAATGCTAGAACGACTTATATTTAGAAAAACTCATCCAACTCCAAAACGACTTAATGAAGGGAGTAAATATATTTCAATTATCAAATACTCCAAACTCCCAATCATTTTCTGTTTCGTATTTGCAAGAACTTTACACCATCAATGCCGAAATTGGAATGGCGATTAAAGAATATACATCGGGCTTGATCGACCCTTATCAAACATTTGTGATTGTTTGTATGTAACATCATTGAAATTTTATGACACTCAAAAGAGTAATATAATACATAATAATAAATGAGTACAACCGAAATTGATTGAACCGGAAGTACTGATTCTACTCATCAATCATGGCCAAAAGCTAACAAGACGATTCAATATTCGATCCCGGACAAACTCTCCGAAAATTCTGAACTCCTCCAACACCATAACATCAGCACGACTATTAATCAACGGCGGAAAGAAAAGCCAGAAACTGGTCGAAACCACAAACCCGACGGTCAACGGCCCCGACACGAACCACGGCAATCTCCATCTTCCGTTCAAAGCTTTCTTAAATCCAATCTCCAGAACAACACAGATCCCATGCAGCACAAAGAACGAAGTTTGTTCCCAACTGGGATCCACGCGCGTCGCGTAAAAGAACAGGATCTCGTGCATTAACCCAGAAACCACAAACGACGCCAAAACCGCCGGTAACGACGACAACTCTCGGCCTAATACCTTCGCCGACGCCGATCTGACCGGCTTGTAAACCGTCTCCCGGAGTATATTCGTCACGGCGAGATTCCACCTCTTGCCCCAGAATTCTTGGAGGGATGTTGATGCGTATGGTTCATCGGAGGAAGGTTCAAGTTCCAGCCCAATCAAGGCATGGACTAATAAGCTTGAGGAAGCTATAACGCAATCCACCATAAAATAAACCAAGAAACAATATCCAATCAACAAGATTCTGGGGTGAATCTTTCCGTTATTGAGAAGGAATAATCTAATTAGAATAGCAGAGGCCAAAATCTCAAAGCCTAAATTAGTCATAATGGGTATCTTTTTCTTAGGCTTGGAGATTAAATCGGAGGAGGAGGATGAAGGGTTATTAGTACCGGGCTTTGTCCTTATGGGAAGAGCTGCAGAAGCGATGAAAATATGAAGGGATTTAGATGCTCGATCCGAAGAAAGCGGACCTTGTCCGAAAGCAAAGAGTAGGAGTTTGAAGTTGCCAAGCCAAGTGATGGAGAATGTGGTGAGTGAAGTGAAGAAGACGGATGGGAAAGGGAGATAGAGAGGAAGGATCGAAAAGATGCAGAGAATGGGGAGAAGGGAAATGAATCTGAGGAACCCCTTTGGGAATCTTGAAGAAATGAAGTAGCAATGACAGAGAGATACTACTACTGTTGAAAACACAGAGAAATGTTTCTTCAACCCTTCATCCATTGGAATGGCTCGAAGGGAGTTCTGCAAATTTCTAGGAGAGATTGACTTTTCTTTTTAGTAGGAATGGAACGGCAAGCTTTGAGTGGACAGACATATGAAGATAATTTGTCTGTGTGCTGGCAATATTTGTGATTTTCAGGGAAAAAATTGGCGGATCTACCCAAAGTTTTACATGTGTCATCAATTCTACCTTATTCTTTTTCAGTTAGACAATATTACTTTAAACTATCCAACCGTTAGTCAATTTTGTCTACTTTGCTATTTTCCGTCTAAATTAACGGAATTCTATTTATTTTAATTAAAAAATACCCTAATAGTTTTAATAATTTATAAAAATAGTATCTTTTCAGTTTTTATTTAAATTTTTCATTTTTTTATTTCTTTTTACTATTTTCATAACCATAAAAATATATTATATGATCTTTTAAATAAATAATTTATTTTTAAACACTACATACAAATTTATAAATATACATTTTGTAACTCATGATTGATTTACATAAACATATTAATTTTTTTAATAATATGGCTAGACAATAATGATATTATTCTTTTAATCTGTCTTTTTCAATTTAAAGAATAAGATTTTTTTTGACTAAAACTAATTTTTTACAAAAAATAAAAACATTTAGCATAGATTAAAAAATATATATTAGTACATTTTAATTTATTGTAAATTAACTAAACAGACTATAGATTGTATTATCTAAAAAAATTATTAAATTAAAATATAGGGTACTGTCTAGTGTTTAGGGTGTTAAGTTTCATGAGAGAATATATAAGATTAATTGTCACCAAAGTATTTCTAACCGGTAGAGTGATTTTACCCACGTTTAAGCGGGGTCCACCAAAGGTAAGAGGGTTGCATTGGATGGTTAGGTGATTTAAGATATGAGATGATTAAAACTGTGTTCGAGGTTCAATTCTCACTGGAGAAATCTAATTTTTTTTTAAAAAAGGTGGAGTCCAGTACTGGAGTAGATTTTGTTTTATTTTATTTTTTAAAAAAAAGACTTCCTGCTAAAGTTAGATATATTAATTCTCAAAACATTATCTCAAAATTTTAAACCCTCGCAGTAATAAATATACATATTTTTTATAAAATATTTTTGTACCATTTTTTGTAAATGCCACGATACTATATTCTTGTGTTGCGCCAACGTAGAAACGAAATAGGTGTTTTTTTTTTTACTTTCTGTCTGTACTTGGCCTTTTAAAAAAAAAATTTATATTTTAGTTTTGATTTCTTTTTAAATTTTAAACTATAATCTAAAGTCAGTTGAATTAAATTGTAATACATTAAAGTATACCAATAGATTCTTTTTTAATCTATGCGAATTGTTTAATTTTTTTTGTGAAATATAAGTATTAGTTAAATAGTCTCATTCTTTAGATTGAAAAAAATGGATTAAAAAATAGTATCATTATTGTAAAACCATATTATTAAAACATTAATATGCTTATGTAAATCAAACATGACATACAAATATGTAATTAAAATTTGTACATTAAAGTTTAAAAATAAATATTTTTTTAAAAGATCATATAGTATATTTTTATAGTTATCAAAAATAGTAAAAAGAAATAAAAATAACAGAAAATTTTAAATAAAAACTGAAAATAGACTATTTTATAATTTTTGTAAATTTTTGGGGTCATTTTTATAAATTTTTAAAACAATTAGGGTATTTTTATAATTAAAACAAATAGAATTCCATTAATTTAGATGGAAAATAGCAAATTAGACAAAATCGGCTAACGGTTGGATAGTTTAGGGTAATATTGGCTACCCGAAAAAAATAAGATAGAATTGACGACGCATGTAAAGTTTTGGGTAGAACCGCCAATTTTTTCTAATTTTTAGTCTTTATCAATCGAGATTCAAGACTCAAGAGTAATAACTTCACATCATAGCTCTGGTAGGAATGAGTTATAATTTTATAAATATATAGTAATTTTTTTCCCATCAGATATTGTGTTATAATTTAGACTAAAATGTCCAAATGGTCCCTTACATTTGGGCATCCTTGAATTTACGTCCCTTACATTAACATTTCAATATCGTAGTCCCAAACATTATATTTTCACACTTTTTTAGTCTCATTTCACTGTTTCCAGCTGTTGACATGCCGGAATCAGGGGTATTTTTGTCTTTTAATTTAATTTATTAAAAATATTTGAAAATTCAAATTTCATTATTTAATTGTTAAAATATTATTTATTAATTAAAAATATTATTGTACAATTTAAGATTTATCATTATTTTCAAAATTATTTTTTTTATTTACTATTTACTTTACGTATACAATAAATAGTAATTATGTTGCACTTTTAATTTTGGGCCCACTATAACTTAAAAAATTAACCAAGTTACAGTAAATAATTCAAAATTCAATTATTTTTTTTTTACAAAAAAGCAAAACTAAGATTTTTTTTACTCTTACCGCTACAGCAAACCCTAAATGGTAATTATGTTATACTTTTAACCTTGTATTCACTGTAACTTAAAAAATATACCGAGTTACAGTAAATAATTCAATTTTTTTTTAAAAAAAAAAACAAAACCAAGATTTTTTTTACTTTGACAGCTACAGTAAACCCTAAATGGTAATTATATTGCACTTTTAACCTTAGACCCACTGTAACTTAAAAAAATTTACCGAGTTACAGTAAATAATTCAAAATTCAATTTTTTTCCCAAAAAAAAGGAAAAACCAAGATTTTTTTCACTCTGATCGCTAAATTGCTTTTTTAACGTTGGACCTACAATAACTTAAAAAATTTATCGAGTTACAGTAAATAATTCAAAATTTATTTTTTTTAAAAAAAAAGAAAAAGCAAAATAAAGTAATTGACCGCTACACTAAACCCTTATGTTGCACTTTTAAACTTGGACCCAATGTAACTTAAAAAATTTGCAGAGTTACAGTAAATAATTTAAAATTCAACTGTAGCAGTCAAAGTAAAAAAAAATCTTTGTTTTGCTTTTTTTTAAAAAAAATAAATAAATTTTGAATTATTTACTATAACTCGGTAAATTTTTTAAGTTATAGTGGGTCCAAAGTTAAAAGTGCAACATAATTACTATTTAGGGTTTACTATAGTGGTCAGAGTAAAAAAAATGGTTTGGCTTTTTCTTTTTTTTTTTAAAGAAATTAGATTTTGAATTATTTATGTAACTCGTAAATTTTAAGTTACGATGGTCCAAGGTCAAAAGTGTAACATAATTACTATTTAGGGTTTACTATAGTGGTCGAGTAAAAAAAATGGTTTGGCTTTTTCTTTTTTTTTTTTAAGAAATTAGATTTTGAATTATTTATCAGAACTCGAGAAATTTTAAGTTACAATGGGTCCAAGGTCAAAAGTACAACATAATTACTATTTACTTTGACCTAAGATAAAGGATAAACGAAAAAATTAATTTTGAAAATAATGTAAATTTTAAAATTTTATAATAATAATTTTAATTAATAAATAATATTTTAACAATTAAATAATGAAATCTGAATTTTAAAATATTTTTAATGATTTAAATTTTTATTAAAATTTAAATTAATTTAAAAGACAAAACTTCACATCATAGCTCTGGTAGGAATGAGTTATAATTTTATAAATATATAGTAATTTTTTTCCCATCAGATATTGTGTTATAATTTAGACTAAAATGTCCAAATGGTCCCTTACATTTGGGCATCCTTGAATTTACGTCTCTTACATTAACATTTCAATATCGTAGTCCCAAACATTATATTTTCACACTTTTTTAGTCTCATTTCACTGTTTCCAGCTGTTGACATGCCGGAATCAGGGGTATTTTTGTCTTTTAATTTAATTTATTAAAAATATTTGAAAATTCAAATTTCATTATTTAATTGTTAAAATATTATTTATTAATTAAAAATATTATTGTACAATTTAAGATTTATCATTATTTTCAAAATTATTTTTTTTATTTACTATTTACTTTATGTATACAATAAATAGTAATTATGTTGCACTTTTAATTTTGGGCCCACTATAACTTAAAAAATTAACCAAGTTACAGTAAATAATTCAAAATTCAATTATTTTTTTTTTACAAAAAAGCAAAACTAAGATTTTTTTTACTCTTACCGCTACAGCAAACCCTAAATGGTAATTATGTTATACTTTTAACCTTGTATTCACTGTAACTTAAAAAATATACCGAGTTACAGTAAATAATTCAATTTTTTTTTAAAAAAACAAAACCAAGATTTTTTTTACTTTGACAGCTACAGTAAACCCTAAATGGTAATTATATTGCACTTTTAACCTTAGACCCACTGTAACTTAAAAAATTTACGAGTTACGATAAATAATTCAAAATTCAATTTTTTCCCAAAAAAGGAAAAACCAAGATTTTTTCACTCGATCGCTAAATTGCTTTTTAACGTTGGACCTACAATAACTTAAAATTTATCGAGTTCTGATAAATAATTCAAAATTTATTTTTTTAAAAAAAAAGAAAAAGCAAAATAAAGTAATTGACCGCTACACTAAACCCTTATGTTGCACTTTTAAACTTGGACCCAATGTAACTTAAAAAATTTGCAGAGTTACAGTAAATAATTTAAAATTCAACTGTAGCAGTCAAAGTAAAAAAAAATCTTTGTTTTGCTTTTTTTTAAAAAAAATAAATAAATTTTGAATTATTTACTATAACTCGGTAAATTTTTTAAGTTATAGTGGGTCCAAAGTTAAAAGTGCAACATAATTACTATTTAGGGTTTACTATAGTGGTCAGAGTAAAAAAAATGGTTTGGCTTTTTCTTTTTTTTTTTAAAGAAATTAGATTTTGAATTATTTACTGTAACTCGGTAAATTTTTAAGTTACAGTGGGTCCAAGGTCAAAAGTGTAACATAATTACTATTTAGGGTTTACTATAGTGGTCAGAGTAAAAAAAATGGTTTGGCTTTTTCTTTTTTTTTTTTAAGAAATTAGATTTTGAATTATTTACTGTAACTCGGTAAATTTTTAAGTTACAGTGGGTCCAAGGTCAAAAGTGCAACATAATTACTATTTACTTTGACCTAAGATAAAGGATAAACGAAAAAATTAATTTTGAAAATAATGTAAATTTTAAAATTTTATAATAATAATTTTAATTAATAAATAATATTTTAACAATTAAATAATGAAATCTGAATTTTAAAATATTTTTAATGATTTAAATTTTTATTAAAATTTAAATTAATTTAAAAGACAAAAATACCCCTGATTCCGGTATGTCAACAGCCGGAAATAGTGAAATGGGACCAAAAAAGTGTGAAAACATAATGTTTGGGATTACGATATTGAAATGTTAATGTAAGAGAAGTAAATTCAAGTAGGCCAAAATGTAAGGGACAATTTGGACATTTTAGTCTAAAATTTATCATTGATACATTGATGAGATCATGATATCTTAACCAACTTGCTCACTGTCTATCGTGGTGTCTTTTTTTCTTTTCTTTTCTTTTTTTTTTTAACTAATGAACTGTGCTATCCTTTCAAGGGATTCAGTTCTCAATCTCAGAATATTTGATCAGTGACTGCACAAATTGCAAAATAAATGGAGACCAACACTTACTAAAAGTAATTCGTAATTACAACGAAATTATTACCACTGCCTAAATTGCGAATAAGCAGGCTACAAAGTAGAGAGTGTGGTTAAGTAGTACAGCTCGATTCCCACAGGCTACAAGCAGGCTGTTTTTTTTTTTTTTTGGAATTTCAATTTTATTGAATAAAAAGAAGTTAACATTATTCTTGCTAACTAATCGACAGAAAACTTCCAGGTTTGACCAATCCAAGTTTCTAATTCGAACTAATATAGTTTCATTTCATGTCTAATTCACTTGTGCATCTCGGATGCTAATCTGCACTTTCTGAGTAAAAGCTAGTACTCCCTCGCTCTGAAAGATTGTTTAGTTTGAGATCCTAATTTTAGTATAATTTAAACTAAAAATAAAAATTTAAATCAGATAATAATTATGGGACGGAAGGAGGATGTTTTCAAAGGTTGCATAATTTCATCAACAAAGTATAACCCTTGATGTCTAAAATGTTAGACAAGAAATAGAAAGACTATCAAAATTGATACCCAGAGTACATTTTGTAGTCCAAGCTTCTTCTATGTCAGCACAACAACTTTCTTTTACATTGTGGTATTTGTCATCTCCAAAAGCCTACAAATTGGGTTCAATATTCCACCCCGTAATTGCCTAATCCCATCTCATCTATCAACATACGGTCAACTCGATTCTTAATCAACGGCCCAAAGAACAGCCAAAAGCTGGTCAAAACCACAAACCCTAGGGTCAACGGCAACGACACGAACCACGGCAACATCCACCGACGTCGACCTTTCAGAGCCTTCTTCACCGCAATTTCCACAACAACACAGATCCCATGTAGAACGAAAAATGACGTCATATCCCAGCTGGCTTCACGCGTATCGCGTAGTAGAGCATAAGCTCGTGCATCAGACCGGAAACTACAAAAGCCGCAAAAATGGCCGGAACAGGGGCCAACTCGTTTCCCAATATCACCGCCGATCCGGCCCTGACAGGCTTGTACACCGTCTCCCGGAGCACATTTGTCACGACGAGGTTCCACCGCTTGCCCCAGAATTCTTGTAAGGATGTCGATAAGTACGGCTCGTTGAACGGCGGTTCTAACTCCAGTCCCACCAGGGCACGGACCAATAAATTAAACGAGGTGAAGACAAAATCCAGCATAATAAAAAACAAACAACCATACCCGATTAATAAAATGATGGTGTGATTATGAAGCATTTCATTATAGTGAATCAACAATCCTATTAAAACAGAGGATGCCAATATCTCTGCCCCTAAATTACCCAAGATGGGTATCTTTTTCCTAGGCTTGGAGGGTGATTGAGTGGAAGGAGGAGGAGGATCGTTGATTGGTTTTGCCCGGACGGGAAGGGAGGCGGATAAGATGAAAATAGGAAGGGATTTGGTTAATTGGGCCGCAGAAAGTGGACCTTGTCCGAAAGCAAAGAGGAGGAGTCTGAAGTTGGCAAGCCATGCGATGAAGAATGGTGTGAGTGAAGTGATGAAAACGGTGGGGAATGGCAGATACAGAGGGAGGATTGTGAAGATGCAGAAGATTGGTACAAGAGAAATCAATCTGAAAACACCTTTTGGAATTCTTGAAGAAATGAAATAGCAGTAACTGAGAGCTACAAAGACTGCTGAATACACATTGAAATGCTTCACAACTCTTTCATCCATTGAATTGAACTTGACACTTTCTTGCCTTAGGCTGATCTTAAAAAAAAAACAAAAAAATGCAGCTTGACTGTATCCGTATAATAATGAAGGTGCATCTGCGTGCAAAGCAATCGTATCTGACTTCCACTCTGATCCAATCAAGTATTATTGGTAAATGGTTTTACAGGTCAGCTCAGTGGGGAAAGAATTATAGTTTATAGCATTATATACGCTGTGTGGCAGGAAGTCAAAGTGCCAACATAATGTGGCTAACATGGACCATTTTTAAATTATTTATCAATTGATCAGATCATAATTCAGATCTTTTAATTGACAGATATCAGCTAGCGTGAAGAATCTGTTGCACGATATATATTAATTCGGTCAATGTTTATAATATACACGCGATTAATTGAACAAAGCAGCCTAAATATTATAAGATGATTATCAAAATTGATATGGAACTTCTGAATTTTGTGATCAATAATTTCCCATCTAATTAATAATCTCTACATTTTGTGATCAATAATTTCCCATCTAATTAATAATCTCTACATTTTCGTTTAAAGATGGTCAGTGCCGGAACATCACCAGATGGGGAATGTCATTATGGCATTATGAACAAACACTCCAAGACTTCTGAACTCTTCTAACACTATAACATCAAGACGGTTCCGAATCCACGGCGGGAAGAACAACCAGAAGCTTGTTAAAACCACAAACCCAACGGTCAACGGCCCCGATACGAACCACGGCAAACTCCACCGTCGGTTCAGAGCTTTCTTTATTCCGAACTCCAAAACAACACAGATTCCATGGAAGACGAAAAACGACATCTGTTCCCAACTGGGCTTCACACGGATCGCATACCACAACAAAAGCTCGTGCATCAAACCAGAAACCACAAATGACGCAAGAACTGCCGGTAGTGGGGCCAGCTCTTTTCCCAATAACGCCGCCGACGCTGATCTGACCGGCTTGTAAACCGTTTCCCGGAGTATATTTGTCACGGTGAGGTTCCACCTCTTTCCCCAGAATTCCTGGAGGGAGCTTGATAAGTACGGCTCGTCGGACGGCGGTTCTAACTCCAGCCCCACCAGAGCTCGGACCAGAAAACTTGAGGCAGCCATGAGGCAATCTAGCAATAGGAAAAGTAGGCAACAATAGCCTATTAATATAAGTTTTGGGTGGAATTTTTCTTTGTAGTGAATGAATACTCCGATTAGAATAGCAGATGCCAGAACCTCTGCTCCTAAATTATTCAAAATGGGCAACTTTTTTGTTGGTTTGGAGGATAATTGGGAGGATGGAGGATTGTTGTCGGGCTTTGTTCGTATGGGAAGAGATGCAGATGCAATGAAAATGTGAAGGGAGTTGGATGCCCTGGCCGAGGAAAGTGGGCCTTGTCCGAAAGCAAAGAGCAGGAGTTTGAAATTGGCAAGCCATGTGAAGAAGAATGCGAAGTTTGAAGTGAGGTAAACAGAGGGGAAAGGGAGAAACAGAGGAAGGATTGTGAAGAGGTAAAAGATGGGGATGAGAGAAATCAGCCTGAAGAAGCCTTTTGGAAGTCTTGAAGAAATGAAGTAGCAGTAACAGAGAGCTAGTACTGCCGTTGAGAACACAGAAACATGCTTCATGACCCAATCATCCATTGAATTGGATGTGGAGTTGTAAGTGCTGATTTCTTAGAGACGACTTTATTGGCTGGATCTTTAGGTAGAATGAAATGGCAGGCTGGATTGGCTGTAGAAAATTTGTGCTATGTTAAAACTTAAAAAGGTCCTGTCCTAGTGTTGTAAGGTTTTTAGGTCAACTCTTCAGTTGGCTAGTCCATCTATACCTTAATTTCTGCTGCGAATGAATCTTCCGAGAAGTCGACAATACTTTACATACTCTGGCCTAATATGTTGGCACTGTCAATTTGTGACTTGTTCAGTAACACATGCACGTGTGACAGAATATAAAAACACAACCAGGCAGAAGAACAAAAGATTGTAAAAAGGCAGATGCAGATCGAATCAAGGCAGCCTTCATCTACTGAATCACGCTGATCAGCTTAAGATCTTTGATTCGACATGCATCAGCACGCCAACCAAATCTTTCACATGATATAATTAACTTTAGTCGCATTTTCTAATTTTATACATTTAACTAAAACAAGTGGCACAGACGCCGATATATGATTGATGATCTGGTGACTTTGAAGTCTGCTTCAAAATTCTGATATTTAAGATACCATACCATGAATAAGCTCACCCGTTAATCAGAATTTTGGCATCTGGGTGACCTTTATCAAGATGGATAAATAATTCAATTATGAACCAACTCACCAAAAGTTCTAAACTCCTCAAGAACGACAGTATCAACACTACTCCTGGTCAACGGCGGAAAGAATAGCCAGAAGCTGGTCAACATCACAAACCCAATAGTCAACGGCCCCGAAATCCACCGTGATAAACTCCACTCCCTCTTCAAACCTTTCTTGACCGCCACTTCCAAAGCCACACAAAATCCATGCAGAACGAAAAACGAAGTCATTTCCCAAGTGGGCTTTGCACGGGTCAAGTAATAGAAGAAAAGCTCGTGGAATAACCCAGAAACAAGAAAAGTAGTCAAGACAGCAACAAGTCGGGCCAAACTCTTGCCCAATAGAACCGCATACACTGTCCGAACGGGATTGTATATCGTGCGTCGTAGCGCATTTGTTACCCTGAGGTTCCATCTCTTGCCCCAGAAATCTTGTAGAGAGGTCGACAAATATGGCTTGTTGGATGGAAGTTCCAGCTCTAGACCGATTATTGCATAGGATAAGAAATTTGAGGCACCTCCAATACAATCCACTGATAAAAGAACCAAGCAACAATAGAGTACCAATAGAATTTTGGGATGATATTTGTCCCTATAACTAAGTACCACGCCAATTAAAACAGCTAATAACACTAATTCCAGGCCTATGTAACTCAGAAATGGCAATTTCTTTGCGGGTTTGGGGGGTTGTGATGAATGATCTGGAGTTCTATTAGGCTCTGTTTCAATGGAATTGGATGAGGAACCGAGGGGGACTGGATTGGAATTTATAAGGGATATTAGGAAGAGTGTTGAAGTTGCGGTGATGATGACGGATGGGATATTCAGAGGAAGGATTATGAACAAGTAGAATATGGGGAGCAGAGAAAATAGCCTGAAAAAACCTTTTGGGATTATTGAAGATATGAAATAGCAGTAGCAGAGACAAGCTAACACAGTTGGGAACCATGAGACCACCTTCTCGATTGCAAACTCCATCTTGAGTGCGAAATTTTCCAAGGTGCTGCTATTGGGAAAGCCGATTATATCAATTACGTGCAAAGTTATTGGTCTTTGGCAAGTGGGATTACAGGTCACGTCAGAAGGGTGAAGAGAAGTCACAAATTACACATCTTTATTCGTTTCTCCAACGACGCTACTTTTGTGAATAAATTCATACCGAATGTTCAACTTTTTTTAAGGTAGACCTGTCATGATGACTCCAGGAGTAATATAGTATTCCATGTGTCCATATTCAATTTTCGAGGGCATACTGATTACTGAATATGACTCTGTTTCGCTTTCGCGAGTTAGATGATTGAATCAGAACTAATCATCTTCTCATTAGATTATTAATCTTTTGAAAAAGGCATCTATTATACTAATATTCAACACTTGTGACTTATTAGAAATGATGAGAAAAACACTAGACTTTTCATCGCTATTAATATATACTTACGGAGTTGCTGTCAATTGCCAGAAGCTAGCGCTGTGATCGGAATGTAGTCGGACAGAGAGAAATGATCATTGGTTTTTTACTTTTACATATTCTTTCTGTTCTCAAATTATTATCCAGTTTAGATTTTTATTTTTAATATAATATGAAAATCTATTTTCTGGATGCAAGGAATAACATTAAAACCACCGAACTGGCATAGTACATATATTCAGAGCGTAATTGTTAATAGATATAACCAAAAAGATTATTATCGTCCAAAAAAAAAAAAACAGTTCACATTTCACCTTTTATGATAAGGTTTTAAATCGGACAAAATTTACTATTACTCCATCCAGTCCTTATTATAAGACATTTTGATTTGTTTTAAATTTCACCTAAGATGTCTTTTTAATTGAGAAAATACAATCTTAAAAACATTTGTTAATAATTAGAACACAACCGATGTGAAAATATATTTTTAAGATTTTTTTTTCAACTAAAAATACATCCTAAGTTAAACTTATGACAAAATCAAAATAGTTTGCAAGCACAAGAGTGAGTAGCATTTTTCTTGGACACACTAGTGATTCATGCTTACCACAATAACTACGTACGTACCACGAAGCTGTTTTTAACAAAACGCAGAACAATATAGTACTCCTCTATGGCCCTCGAGTCCAGGCCATTTCTAACCAATGGGGGAAAGAACAACCAACTTCCGGTCAACCCGACGAACGCCACCGTGAGCGCCCCGGAAACAGCCCGGTGCAACCGCCACCGGCCAGCCACCCACTTCTTGACATAAACCTCACACGTCACACAAACACCTTGTAACACAAAAAACCACGTCACTTCCCACGTAGGCCAAGCTCGAGACAAGTAATAAAACAGAACTTCATGCATTAGACCCGATAGGAAAAATGTGAGTAAATTCGCCGGCACTAAGCTCCAATACCGTCCGACAACCGGCGTTAACAAGTTCCGTAGGGGGTCATACACCGTTTCCCTCAGAATTCCGGTAACCATGAGGTTCCATCTCCTGCCCCAGAAATCTTGGAGCGACCTGGATAGATATGGCTCGTTGAACTGTTTTGCACTTTCTAATCCAAGAATTACTTTAATTGGGATAGCTGCGATGGCTAATTGAAATTCAACCCCAAGGTACATATGGCAGCAGTAAAGTACCATGATGAATTTCGGATGTAATTTTGGCCTGAAACTGTACAGCCTTAAGATTATAAAAAACAGGGCAACCTTGATTATTTTACTGCGAATCTTAAACTGGCGGCGCCTTCGAATTATTTCGGGATTACTAGGTGTTTTATGAGATGGGTCGGTTTTAGTTTTGATGGGGAGAAGACCAATGGCAATGAAATGGGAAAGAGAGTACGGTTTCGAAGACAGAGGACCTCGGTTGAAGGAATAAAGGAGGAGTTTGAAATTGGCCAGCCAAACGAGGTAGAAAATGGTAATTCCTCCAAGATGAAAGGAATGTAAATTGAGAGGGAGTGTGGTGAAGAGATAAATGATTGGGAGAACTGAAATCAGCCTGGGAAATCCACTTGGGATTCTTGAAACAAGGAAGTAGCAGTAGAATTGGCAGAGTATTGCCGCAGTCCAAACTTTGAAGAAGTTTTCAATCTCGGCATCCATTTCCCGAAGCTTGAAATTGTCGTTTGATTGTGTTGATTTCCTGACTGATTTAAACCCTTGAAGCAGAGCAGAAGGGGAGTACTAGGAAACAACAAATCTGGTTTGTATTGTGTATTTGAGATAGTAGGAACAGAGGATGCTAAAATAGCACTCCCGGGGGGAGAAACTGAAAATTATCTCCACGAAGAAGTAAATGCTGGGAATGAATGACCATGAATCATAAAAGTATGATGAGGAAAAAACGAAGGACTGAAGGTGGTTGTGTTGGGATGTGTAAGGTAGTAAATGAAGAGGATGACAATGTCAGTGAGACGGGTGAAGAGAATTTATTATGCCGGTGTTGTCCGGTAAAATGGAACTCCCTCCATTCCAACTTAGGTTTTCTATGAATACTAACTAATCCCTCCATCCCCGATTATTGTCCAATTTGGAATTGTACTAAAAATAAAAGTTCAAACCGAACAATAATTTTGAGCCAGAAGGGAGTATTACATTATTTCAAACTATAGGTCATTCTATCTAAGATTTGGAAACATATTTTTACCAAAATTTCAATTTTACATTAAGTAAATGATACAAATTCCTTTCTTTTTGTCTAATAATATCGATACATGTAATGAAGGCTATAAAAGATGAATGATTATATTTTAGATTACATGAGATGTCCAAAGCGACTAGTTTTGAGATCAATGGAGTAATGTGGCATTTACACACTTATGTTAACCTTCCTAGTTGCGGGGACCATTTTTTTTCTTGTTGTTCTGTTTAGTATATTAAGGTTTTAGCTTTCCAGGTTTAGAAAGAGCTACATTTATGAGCTTTGTTGGTCCATCAGAAATTTGATTCTCATGTGACATGCATTATCTGTCTTGTGTAAGAACGAAAAAAAGGGTAGCGAGGGTCCTCCATGCCAATGACTTAGAAGTATTTTAAGCCTAAACTTTGGAAGCTCTTTTAATTTTGATGTGTGTGTTTCAATACAAGTGTAAAGAAGTTCGTTGTGTCTGTTTTCATTTATGACTGCACGAGATCTCCATAACGCCAAAAGTTCAATAGAAGTGGTTGCCTTTGGTACTATGTATACCATAATGTTGGATTTGATTATTCGGGTTGAGAGACGGATTCTGACTTGGGCAAATTCGGATTAGTCGGAGCAATGACTTCGAACACCAGGTGAGTTATATAACAAAGAAAAAAAAAGGAAACTATTGCACTGCTACTCATCTTAGTTATGGCTTGTATGTAAATGGGGCTTGAACTAGCATATCATTGCCTTGACTTTTCGATTTCTTTGGGGAAATTGAAATTGCATTTTTTTTTTCTCAGGTATGCCACTGAGGAAGCATTGTGCTTGCTTCCAAACCAACCTATGGCGAGTTTGGACAATCAAAAGCTAAGTTTTATAATAACGTGAAAGTTATTAGCGAGAATAAGTCATTATCGTCGACAGTAGACGTGTAAATATATGCAACAAAAAAAAAAAGAGAAAATCATAAAAACAAAGAGAAATGAAAATTTGATCGAGCTATGTATTCCCATGAATGCGAAATTTTTCTCCAACCTTACAGAATAAGACGATGTTTTCATTTATAACCTTCAAATCCAGCCCATTTCTAACAATCTGAGGAAAGAACAACCAGGCTCCAGTAACTCCCACAAACCCAATAGTAAGCGGCCGAGACACAACCCGATGTAGCCTCCAACTAACCTTCTTCTTCTTCAAGGCCTTTTTAACAACAATCTCGGCAGCCACACAGAATCCATGCAGGACAAAGAACCACGTCACTTCCCACGTGGGACTCGCACGTGACAAATAGTAATAGATGATTTCGTGCATTAAACCGGACACCAAAAACGTTGACATGATCCCTGCACCTAAGCTCAAATCCTTGCCCAGAAATGGCGCGAAAATGTCCCGTACGGGATTGTATACGGTTGGGCGCAGGATACTCGTGACCATCAAGTTCCATCTACGTCCCCAGAAATCCTGGAGAGACGTGGCTAAATAAGGCTCGTTGAATTGGGTCTCCATTTCCAGCCCGAGAATCAGCCGGACCGGAGCCGCCGTCGCGGCGAGGATCAGCTCGACGCCGATGTAGAGATGGCAGCAGTACAGGGCCAGAACGATTGGCTGATTCAATTGTTGCCGGTTACTATAAATGGATACGATCGGTATCAAAAGGGCAGCTTTTATGGCGAAAATTACAGAGGCGGTGAAAATTGACTTGATTTTGGTACTGCTTTTGGAATGGCTGTGGTTTTGATAGGGAGAAGGGCTGTGAATGTGAATTGGAGAAACGACGACGTTGCCGGTGGGCGGTTGTGGGAGGAGAGAGGGCCTTGATTGAATGAGAAGAGGAGGAGCTTGAAGTTGCCAAGCCAGACAAGGTAGAAAATGGTGGGAAGGGAAAGAAGGATGGATGACAGGCTAAAGGGAAGAATGATGAAGAGGAAGATAATTGGGAGAACAGAAAGAAACCTGGATAATCCACACGGAATTCTTGAGGACACAAAGTAACAGTACAACAGAGATGTAATGGCTACAAGCCATACTCTGCAGAAATTCTGGAACTCATTTGGATACGAACTTTGAGAATCCATCCCTTTTTTTTTTCTTTTTTTTTTTCTAATCTCCAGAATATGTCCAGCGTACTAACAACACTGCTACCATATTCATTTGCACTTTTGCTTATATACTACAATCAATGTACCGTGGAGACTGAAGACTGATGAAATAGAGAAGTTTCCCTCTGGAACTAAAATGAATGGTTCCAACAAAAAATAAAATAAAATAACAATGATTTCTTAGGTGAATGATTCTTTCATTAGTTTGTTTCTAAAATAAGTTCATCTCTACCAGAATCATGTGAAACGGATATCCCCTGGTATACACACTTCCATTATTAGTTTTAAGTTGAGACAATGCATGAAGAACAGCGAATCTCAATCTACAAACTGAAATACTTTCCGCTAATGATAGTTTTACACAGCAAGCGGGGGGGGTAGTGCACAGACAATGGATACCGCCAAAGGAAGAAGCAGTGCCTCCCTTTTCTGAACTTTACATGATGCAGTATACTTCCTGTCTTGCACGTTATAGAATGACCTAACGGCATTTATTGTCAAACTACGGGCATATATCAGCAGGTGATAACTTCAAGGTACCACAATGCATAAACCCAAGCCAATGCCTAAATGTACCACAAGAGAGAAGGTCGAATGTACAAAGAACCACCTTTCTTTACTCATCCAGCCATCCTGAAGAATTCTGTTGAGAAAATGGTGGTAAAGGACCAGGAGCAAAGTCCAACGGGTGGCCTCCAGCGCCGTGACTGGGACGAGGACCCATATGATGCATTCCTCTTCTATCACCCACATGTTGCATATGTCCCCCCCTATTAGTCATCATTCTGTTAGGCTCATCCAACCTGAAATTATATCTGTTAATAGCTGATGTGTTCACATTATCATAAGCACGGTTTAATGTAGGTCCTCGCGGCCCGTACGTGCCAGGGCCTGGGACTGACAGATGATTCCCCGGGTGACTCGCAAAAGTGGAATTTGGATGCCCATACAATTGAACTTGTGCCCTAATCTCTTCCTCTCTTGCATAATTTTGGCTCTGTATACTTCTGAGATCACCTCGATGGTCATAGCCCATGAATGGTTCAGCTGAAATTCTAGAGTGAAAATCTGGACCGGGATCAGCATTTAAGTAAAAACCAACAAGACTCATATCCACACTAGTCCTTCTCGGCATCCTATCACCTGGATAGCCACTGTATCCTCTTTCCACAGGCACTCGTGATCCAGTCATACTTGCATGCTCCATGAGGTGATAACCGTCTCTTTGAACTCCAGCATGTGCGGGCATCTCACTATGATGTGGCCGGCCCCAAGGTCGACCATCAGTTCTTGGAGAGGAATGCCGGGGCACAACTGATTGCTTAACTAGCATTGTTTCATCAGATACACCTCCATGATTTCTTTTCTTCCTATTTTCTACCAAAGAGTCAGCACTTGCTTGATTTTTCAGCTCACGAGCCTTGGGATTTGTTTTGAACTCAGCACGGGAACCTTCGATCTGAGCTTCGATTTTCTCGCATCCTTCCCTCCTTGGTCGCTTAACTAGAGATTGTTCATCAGTTACACCTCCATGCTTTATTTTCTTCTCATTTTCCTCCAAGCAACCACTTGGTTGATTGTTCAGCCCACGACTCTTGGGACTTGTTTTGACATCAAAGCAGGGCCCCGCTTCACGTTTCTCATCTCCTTCTCTTCCCAGCTGCGTAGTTTCCTGGAGATCAGAGATGTCTTCCGATAGGCGATGGACATCTATCTTTTGGACCCCAGGTAAGTGCCCTTGTCGTTGAGCAATTTCCCTATGCTTTGTTGTCCAATCTCTGTGACTCCAAAGATAAAGTGGGGGCGTAAACTTATTCCAGTCATCCATTTGTTTATCATTTACATCAATGGATCCAGGTAAGTAAAACGCCTGAAACAATAGAAGTTTTAAGTAATCCAGATCAACATTTTCATGAAAGGTAGATATTAAAAGTAAAAGATCTTCAAACTTGGTTATTAAAAGTAAGAGATCTTCAAACTTACTTTCCCTTCAAGCAACTGGTCATCCTCCCATATGAGCTCATAGGGATTATTTTCGTCTAACCTGGAAAAGGAAAGAAAACAGGGATACAATCACCAATTGAGTAGATACTAGTCTCTCCAAGTGCTTATTATAAGCCATTTTTTAAGTTTCTCGTTGCTTTATTTATAAGATTATAAGACATCTGATGTCTTTAGGGTTTGATTTATTGTGTTCTGCCAAATTTATCCATTCTTTAATTTTTTAAAGTCAACGCTAACCAACCTTTCAGACCTACAATACAAATTTCAATTGTGGTAGTATAGGTGATTTAGACTATTTTTTGAGGCACAATTAACTCAACTAACTTTCTTGGTTTTGCCGCTAAGGTTATCTATGCCTTATAAATAGGACCGGAGGGAGTACTTTGATAATTTTCAATATTGCTTGTTGTGGCTGAAGAAGATTGGTCCGTATCATTTTAGAGAAGTTCAGATCCAATTACCTTCCTGTCTCACGGGGGACAATAAGGATAAGAAGCTTTGGCCTGAATTGAAGTGCTTTCTCAATGAATTTGTTTGCAAGATTTGCATTGGTTCCAAAAGGTGGATTCAGACCCATGATCTGCTTAAGACACAGTTAAGATGTACCTGTAAATGATTGTCATATACTCATGTAATCTATCCAAGAGAGTGCTGTTTCTTACCAATTGTGACCCAGGAGGCAGGTCACCAGGCTGGACAGTCATCCAGTCTTTCTGCTCAAAATTGAAACCATTCTGCAGGAGGGAAAAACTTTTCATTGAGCAAATATTTACTTTTAACAACAAAGTAGCGCAAAAGGGTTGCAGTTAGTAGACATGCATGATGAAATATTAGCAATTCCAACCAGTTATAGTCTAAACCTGTTACAGAATGAATGAGCACCACCAAAAGTACTACTAAAAGCACATATCAATGCAGTTTTTTCAGTAAGGAAGAAACTGAATTGCCAAAGCGGAAAGCCTAAAACCTCACTCATAATATGCATGGTTTCAAACAAAGAGAGCACGGTACAATTAAAAGATGGTAAATTTAACCTTCGGTATGAAAAGATCATAGTTCTTAAAATTGCAGCGTTTCCCTGTCTCATCCATCTTCTGTTTCATAAGCCAGCTGAATTCATTGGCACCACAACAGAAATCAACCAGCTGCTCAGATGAATAACAAGAAACAGCGTAATTAGATAAAAGGCTTATGAATGCATTTGACACGGTTCAAAAGATCTTTTAATTTTTATTTTATTTTTTTGCAAACATGCTCACAAATAAAGTGAAATCATGTTAATACCGTGTCACCATCTTCCATGTAGTAATGAAGCTTATCAACAATCTGCAAAAGAGAACAAATATAACAATGTATAAATAACATGAAAAGAGAATACATGAAATTCAGTCTTCATTGAAAGGTAAAAAAACTCCTTTTGTATGATTATGCACTATTTTCAGTTCATGATGCTCAGACCATGGTTCCTATCAACCTCATACGCAGCCGAACTGGTCGTAAAGAAACCATAATTTGTTCAAGGGTAAGTCTACGAAACAATTTGTCTTCCTTGGGAACAACAGCAAAAACAACTCACTCACCGCTTGCAACTTATCCCTCTTTGTGAAATGCCGACCAAAAGATGTGTAACGTGGCCCGTAAAGAAAGGGAGCAAGATAAACTTTCAACTTACTCTGCAAAGTATATCAAGAAAACATTAGAAATTGTTTAAGCCTAAGGAAAAACAAGAAAAATTACCCCGAGATTCTAAGGAAACATAACGAAGATGTTTGATGTGTGGAGATAACAGAACATAATTTCAACAGAGTACAAAGTCTGAATCCATGAGTAAAGATAACAAAGTCTAGATACATGAGTACAAAGGGACCTAAACCATTAACAATAGTCCAGGCAGCAAAAGGATTAGGAGGTACCCTAAATTTAGTTATTTGATTGAGGAGTCCAGGCTCACAAACAGCTTTTGCACCTTCAAGATTGCCTCCATCATCCAGTTTTTGCTTAGCTGCACGAATTGCCTACAAAGATATGAAAAATCAAATCTTACCACAAATGAAAATCCTAGAGAAAATGGCACTAAACTGAACAACCCACACATCACAACCTACCTCAACGGAACCTTCAACCTTGCCCAAAGTCATATTTTGCATAATCTGCAATATAGGCTTTGACAGACGTACATGTGTTTTTGGCGTTTTGTACTTCTCCATAACATGTTCAAGCGTTATTGAGGATTCAGCTTCTTTTAAAATCGAATCAATTCTGCAAAACAGAACACCTATCCATTACAAAAAAGAGGTGGCACAGTCTCGAGCAAAAATTACCAGAACTCTCTTACTCTCCAGTCAACTTCATGTTACTAGCATGAGTAACAAACAAGTGTGAGAGAGTGCAGCAGAGGGCTCAGGATAAATACGACACCAGTTGATCATTACCTTTTCTTAGAATCATCATCTAGCATAACTGGATCATTGAAGTCCTTAACAATGGATTTAGTTTTTCTTTTTGGCTGCTTAGCACCAGTTGTCTCTCCCTTTACTTTTTTAGCGGTATCAGAACCCTTGTAAAATAAAAACAGCTCTTCTCCAAGAGAGGTCATGCCTTCACCATCAATGGGTTTATTACTATCTTTCCCAGGCAAAGTCTTCTTGACTGGCGCCCTAGAGTTATCAGCTAATTTCCATTTTTTGGGCATCTGCCGCAAGGATGATTGTCCTTCATCTGCTACCGTGGAATCACCCCTCTTCAGTGCTGATGACTTTTCAACGGCGTTTGACTGCTTTGACACAGCTTTTACAATCTTCTTTGGTACAACTTTTTTGTCACCAACCCCCTCAATTGTCTGTTTATCAATTTCTTGATCTGTATATGGGAACCTTATATGATTCCTTTTAGGAGTTGCAAGTTCATCATCAATCTCGTGATCCCTAGAAGAAAAAAATAAAAGCCAAAATGAAGAAGGTTCATCACACATAAATCCTAATAAGATCAAAAGGAACAAGCATCAGTAAGAAAAGCAACTTACAGGCAATAAATCAGTATCCTGTTTGGCATAAGACCAGTCCATGCTCTTTGCACAATATTATCATCTTCATCATCTCCAAAGGAAATCATCCTGAAATTGTAAAGCACTATTCTTAAGCAAGGCAAAGGTATATGAGATGGTTTACAATTGCTAATGGAATTCTCCTAAACATACGCTGTACCTGGGTAAACATTTTTTATGATATGCTCTTGGACAACGTCTACATACAGCAAACTGCATTTCCTTGTCACTTTTGTCCTCAGGTTCAAGCTCACCACAATGTGCACAATAATGGATGGAGCACATAAAGGGTTTTCCTGCAGCAAGTTCATCCTCGAGATCTTTCGCCTTGTCCCCAAACTTGAATCGGAGCGCTTTTACTGCACATTTAGGATGGTAGAAGTAACCGCACGTCCCAGCAACACACTGGAAGACCTACAGACCAAGCAAGAGAGAGAAAACAGTGAGTACCTCTGATGTCCTTAAAAAATTTTCTAAAACCAAAATATGTTGGATGCATGGAACAAATTAAATAAAACAAAAAACTGTTCAAACAGACCTCAGCACCAGCTGATTTATCAGAAGATCCTAACTTTCCACATACAAAGCATTGATGTACATTGACTTGGCAATTCTTGCACAAAAAAGTTTGGTTCTCCTCCTCCATTTTCTGAACCACATAGAAATGGCACAGAAAGCAGTTAGATGCTAAAGAAAACTAGACAGATTGAAAAGGTTACAACACAAAATGATAAGTTATTTTAGCGTGCCCCGAAAACATACTTTAACTTGTTCTTCAGAATATCCAAGAGAATCACAGTTGGACTCGATACCAGATTCCTCTGTTGGATGAAAGGACCTCAAACACTTCCCCTCACAACTGGTTCAAAAGAAATAAAAACCTTTTGTTGTCAGTCAGAGGGAAAAAAATTATTTTACATTAATTTGAAAATGACAATCCGGCAGCTCAAGGAAATAACATTTCCCATGCCCTCGGTGAAGAAGGCATTCAAATTCATCTAAAAAAATTAACAAAAGGGACAGCTTATTTGGAATGTGATCAAATAATAAACAAGAAAAGGAAAAAAGGTTACCAGAGAAGATCTCCGCCATTATCACAAATTGCACAAACATGCTCAAAAATGTCATCGCTCTCAGCGTCAGAGCCATCCTCATCAATTTCCTCCATTTCGACACAAGCATCATCTACTATGAAATCGGACATGGGAGCATTTCCAAGTACCTGTAAAATAACTTTGTGAGCCTTAATGAAAAGGGGTAACATCAACTTTCAGATTTAGGCATCGGTTTTCACTACATAAAGAAGGGAAAGGATACTGAGACAAGAATATCACCTCCTTCCTGGGCAGCTCTTTCCCAACAGGCTTATCCTCCAAAAATGTGAGCAAAATCTGAGAAATAAAAAAAGTTAGCACCACTTACGAATTACATTAACGGCTTGCGCAACTTGGTTTCCCGACAAATTAGAAGGAAAGTCCATGATTCCTTAATAGGGAAAGCACAGTGCATATGTCATGAAAATCTTAGGTAATGATCTCAACTACGTAAACAGTTAATAAGCAAACCTTTGAACTTTTCAATTCTTCATGTCTCTCAACAGCTTCATTAACTAAATCGCAGTAACCCGCAAGATCTCTCTCAGAAGGCCTTGGCTCAAACAAGCTATAATAAATCACACAAAATGATTATACCACATGTAATGAACAGAATATGGCACATAATCTAAACAAAAGTTCTGTAATCCATAATTCATATGGTACCTGAAAACTCTAGCCAAACTATCCCACAAAGCTTTCGAGGTTGTTTTGGGATTTCTTTTCACATAGCTTAGACAATGAACAGTTATCAAGATTGTACGGATCGTTTCAGTGTAGCTTTTTTTGGGCTTCAGAAGCTTGATCCAGTTGTTCTTTGGTGTCAGCACAAAAATTTCAGGCTTCTGAGTAGACAAAATGTCAAATTTCCATGCCGTGACCAGTGAATAGAATTGCCGTAGTCCATTATCAACCTTCCCATGCAAACCAATTTGCTTTTTCACGCTATCAAAGGACTGAGCATCATCCCACTTCAGCGGCAACTCCGCGAACGATATGGGTTCACGATCGCCATCCAATAGGTAATAATCAGAGACCTCAGTGGGCAATGTCTCATCCTCATCGTCTGAAGACGCCATATACTCAATATCTGATGATCACACAACAACCTGTAAAAGAAAAATGAAGACATTGAATCCAAACATTGCATAAATCCTTCTCCTTCTTATTGTTTCCTATATCAAAAAATACCCAGCCTGAAAAAAAAAATGTGACTTTCATGAAGAAGTAAAGAACCGTAACCTGGTTCAGCAAATGTAGGGCTAAAAACAGGGGAGAAAGGGAAGGGGTATTCGATTTCACACCTCAATAGAACCTAACAGCATCAAGGAATCAAATCTTTGAACTAAACTTATGAATTAATAAGTAGCAGGTTACCCAGTTTCATCCATAACCAACAGACAACCCAGCTTACGAAATTCAAGAATGAACAACAAACCATGCAAAAACTGAGAATTAGAAAACCCCTAAAATGACAAATTCGAGGTTACCTGAGCGGCCGTATCCAGTGTGGCCGCAAATTGTTCTTTTAAGTTTTTGCAAGAAAGAGTTAGAGAGAATTAGGGTTCTTGATTTGGGAGGTTTTATGTGAGTTGAATTTACTCCGCCGCTGCTAAAGCAAAGATTAGGGGGGCGAAACGTAAGGTACGCCGGACACGTATCAGTCGATGACACACTTCCAACATGTAATAATAGCGCCTTCAAAACCTCGAGCGCAGATCTTCTATTCTGTTCCGGGCTATTCTGTTTTTATTAGCTCAGTTCAGGACGAAAACGCCACCGTTTGAATAAAATTCCCGTTAACTTTTCTTTTTTTTTTTTTCTTTTTTCTTATTTCTCTCTCTCTCTCTTACCACCCAGAAAGTAACTTCTTCCCCACCGCCTTTCTCAGTTCTCAGCCTCTCATCCACCTGGTTATCCTTCTTCAGTCCACCCGTCAATTTGGAATCTTCATCATCTATAAATGTTTCTTTCTTCCCACATCAAGTATTGTTTAATTCAAACCCCAAAGCCCAACATATGTTTCAAATTCATTATATCCAAGAGATAATTGTTCAGTTTTTGTTTTTTTTTTACTATAACGGAAGTAAATGTCTAAAACACCAAATTATTATAGCGCGTTGGTAAAACACACTAATAATATCATGTTGAAACCATGATTTCACATCATTTAGAAGATCATTTAGAAGATCATTTAGCCATTTTAATCCGCCAGAACTAACCATTACTAAAACTGCTAGTGAATATGCAACGAAATTCAACTCCCATTTTATATGTTTTAACTACACCACTTATTCTCTCTTCAAAATATCTTGAATGGTCATCACCAGCTCTCGATTCAGGCCATTAACATCCATTTTTCCGAGAACCATTCTGATATCGTCTCAAATCTCTACTTTTACAAGAATTTTTTGATAATCTAATTCCCAAGTTAAATAGATACCCTGAAACAAGGTCCATAATTCAGCATCGATTATCGAACAAAAACCGATGTTCATAAGAAAATGGCTTAGCCACCAACCTATATGGTCTCGTATCAAGCCTCCATCACTTGCCATCATATTTTATCAACTGAAATCAATTCAACCATATCCTTCAATTTCTCGCCTCGGATCAAGAAGTGAAAAACAAATTCCTCCTAAGAAAAAAAAGGTATTCTCCGAGCATTCAATTATCATTTCTTTGATCACAAATTAATTATTTTGTTGTACTCCGTACTACTTTGAGATGTAAAAATATTATTATTTTTGTCTTAAAATCACAACCAACAGGTTTTTGGGATAAGCCCGAAGCAACTAGGCTATATGCAATCTACAATCTACACCTCTGTAGAGATTTCGAGATTGATTAGTCTTAACTCTTATATTATTGAATATCTAATAATACATTGGATAAAATAAATATTTTAGAACGAATATAGAAAGAATTTGGTCTACTAACCAATAAAATGACTGTGTGGTCTATCGTGACATCTATTTTACCAACTCTGAAGTGACAATGGTCTAATTTTACACAAATGCACCGAATCCGCAAATACAAAATTATCCCTTATTATCTACATAACTCATCATCAATAAATACAATCTCATTTTAAATACCATTTCATTCTTAATGAGAGAAGATCAGAAATTCTTACTTCTCAAATTAAAACCAACCCTTATCTTGATTTTTTTTTCTTTAACAAACTTTTTTTTGGAGTAAATCTTTAACAAACTTAATCATCGTCATTTTAGTTGAGGGAGTGTAAATAAAATATTGCTCTCCTCCTCGAAAAGACATTACCATCCTTGATGAGCTTTTTGCACTAAAAGATTTTTTTAAGTTGCGGTAATTGTCTCGTGCACAAATTGCTTTATTAGAGACTTAAGTTATAAAACAACACTCAGAAACAAAAATGGTGAAACATATAAATTATAACTCTATAAAGCTCAAAACACTGCCGCCACCGGGTTCTTCTACAAATCATGCATCACTACTCGCCCGCCATCGGACACCGCGACTTTCGATGTCCTGCCGCCGGTGGCTAGAAGTCCGGCAGTGATCCGAAGACCAAAGATCAACAGGGTCAGCTCCATGGTTCCCGAATCGCAATGGTTATATTTATTTTCGCTTACATAGGTTCGCAAATACTACCGGCACCGACTACTTGCCGGAATTCCGAGTCGGATCTTTTGCCGTTGAAAACCTCAAGATATCCGACAACCGAATCACCGCAAACTGGACAATCGGGTTAGCACTAAAGAACCCAAATCCTCACGTCACCCTGATCTACAATCACACCCGGGTAAACGTGATGTACTCCAACGCAAAGGTGCTGTATCACAACGCCGCCCCAGATGATCAACTTCTTTCCTCCGAGAAATAATACTTTCACTTTTGTTCAGAACCCAATGGACAAAACCGTAATTCACCTCAAACCCGCGGCCTGGTTTTTGGGATTGAACCAATTGATTGGCCATTCGATCACCCATGATGTGAATCTTGATGGGGTGATTGAACTCGGCATCCAAATGGTGGGCGCGTGGAATACGCGGGTCGGGTGTGGAGCAATCGGGTTTATGAGTTTGTCATAGCTTGCAAGGGTATAAAGGTTGCGATCAAGCCGTGGTGCTCACCGATTAGGCATGCCGCCGGGAATGCAATCTGGATTCCGGAGGTTGATGTCACGCGCTCTAGGGTTTAGGATCTGAGGTTGGAATTCCGGTGTGGCTGCGTTTTTTAGTAGCGTTTAGGTTAGCTTTCTTTTGGTGAGTTAGGGTTTAGCTTTTTGTCTTGGATTTTCAGAATTACTACTTCATAATTTAGTTGTTCTTCCTCTACTTTCTCGATGTTGATCTTATTTGTTTGCATTAGGAATCAAAAGATTTTCAGAAGATGATTGCACATGATATACTTTGGCCTTTCTTTTTTTTTTGAGTATACTGTATTTCGCTAGACAGTAGAAGTAGAATCGTATACATTTTACGTGTTAAAAAAAATAGAATGCGTAAAGTACTGTATATGCAAGGAAAAGTAAATAACGATAATGATAATAACGATGATCATATCCTCATCCTCGATAAATATAAATCCCAATAATCAGTCATAATCTTAAATTAATGAGACATCAATTTATGATAAAGAAGTACTGAAATGTAAAACTCTTTCCATTCTTAAAATACTAGTGATGTCTGGTTGCGCGACCCTGGCCCAATATATCTGTATATCTTAGAAATGTTTGTATCTGAAAAAAAATATTTTATATTTGGCCCGATATATTTTATAAATATTTGAATAATTTTAGAAATGTTTTATAAGTGTGATGTTTGTATTTGGTAAAAAAATAAATTGTATTTGGCCCGGTACGTTTTAGAAATGTTTGAAGATTTTAGAAATATTTTATAAGTGTTACTTCTTAAATATAAATAAACTTGATTAAATATATGTCTTGAAGTAAATGCTAGACAAAATATAAAGTATCCTAATAAGTTTAAATATTAGTAAGATAATTTATTGATTTTTTCCATTGGTTGTGCCAAATCAATACTTAGTTTTGGAGATTTATAATAGATTTGTAGTTAGCTTCCTCCAAAGGGTATACACTTGATTGTTGGAACTATTTCTTCCAAAAGTTTATAGGTAGTAAAATATCAAAAATATGATTTTGAAACTGGTTAATTGTTGAAACTGGTTGATCACAAATATGAGAATGAAAATAATATAAATTTGCACAGGTTTCAAGATATAGCAAAAAATAACTCACCTCACCATGACAAATAAAGAAAAAAAAAAGTAAAAGATAGCCCATTAAAATTTGAGATTTTTTATTGTTTTCTGTAGGTAAAACTGATGTATAAAAACACAAATAAACGTAGAAACATCATTCCTTCTCTCTCCACCTCAAATTCATAAAAGGATTCCCCATAAATTAATTAAAAGAAGCGACATGAACTATTTATATGATGAGGAACTAAAAAAAGTTCAAAAACCAAATTCAAAAAATTATATTCTTGAAACCCCGAACACAAAAAAAGAAACGTGCTTCATTTGCAAAGAAAATAAGAAAAATAATAATAATAATTGGTCAACTGGGAATATGAAACAAAATCAAAAGCAATTAAACAAAGAAAAAACACACTTCATAATTGGCCATATACGAAAAAAAACCTGAGACTCCATACTTAAAAAAAAGAAAACCACTCTAGTTGAATGAAACATAAAAAAACAAATTTAAAAAACCACACTTTGTAACAAAAACCTAATCAATCAATTCAATCCAAACATAACTAAAATCATACAAAAATTCTAGGCTAACTAACCAAATAAGAAATCACATCATACTACCTGACAACGGCTACGGTAGCTGTAACGAATGGACGCATAAAAATAATAGTAATCACACTATCCTTGAACGGAAAAAACAAAAAATAATAAAAGCCAAACCAATGATCTGTAGAAATAAAATCATTTAAATTTTAATACCTGTAATGGCACCACCACAACGGCTGAAGCAAGATTAATGAGAAATTTTTTTTTTCCTCTGTGTTTCTATAGAGAGGTAAAGAGAATATTTTTTGAAGTTCAAATTTTATCTGATTAA